AGCTGCTTGAATGGGAGCCAGCCTACATTCCAATGGGGCTGCTGGGACTCTCCTCCCACTGCACACACAGGGTTCTCCTTCCTCCTCCTCCAGAGAGTCCCTTTAAAATGCCCCGTAGATGCCTGCTGCAGGGTTGGGACAAGCTTATTCCCCCTCCCTGCCCCCATAAACACACTCCCCCAAAGTCATTCCTTGAGTCCCTGTAGCTGAAAGCTTGAGATTCCATGCACTGCCCCAAACTCTCCTATCTCCCCTCCAGCCCCCAGTTGGCACGGATTGTATCCAGAGCTTGTATGCAATGGGGATATAGGGGTCCAGCCCAAGCCAGGGCAGGGATAAAGGAGAGACACTCCCCCCCATTCCCGAATACTCGGTGGTGATCATGTTATTCCCATGAGTTCTCAGGCCAGCGGAAGTCACTCACACTCTTCACCACCTGGCCCTTAGAACATCCCATAAGTTCCATTAGGACCCCATGACCTGGAAAGCCCTTGTGCCTCCAGGGCAGTTTTGGCTGAGCCGAGCCTGGACACTGCCCATCAGGCAGAGAGCAGAAATGAGGTGCCCCCATGCTCTAGTGCACAAACCCTAGGATTGTGGGGGAGGCTGAAGGTCCATGTGGAGCAATCTACCAGGCAAGAACCATTCACTCAGACAAGCCGAAGGGACAGGGCTGTGCTGCTGTGCAGAGAATCCTGGGAGCCTCTCCTTAAGGATCAATGCATTTTTCACTGCCCAAACCTAGAGCAGTGAGGAGAAGGGGAACCTGATAGTGAGCAGCAGAGCAGAGCCAGTCATGAAGCAGCAATAGCGTGGGGACCTCCAAAGGTGCTGGTCCTCCCACTGAGTTAGGTGCCTAAAGACCTTCAGCCATCTGGGCCCCACTCCCTACTCATGTTACAATACAACACTATCACCACCACCACAAAGGTCTTTTTGAGCAAGTTCCAACTTAAGGCCAGTAAAAGACACAATGATCCAATTGCAAATTCCCTCTTAATTTAAAGAATTTATTATTATCGTTTAGCCACGGTCTGGGAGCTCAAGTCTTATTTTGCTGCTCGCCGTACAGAACACAACAGCTGCGTCCCTTGGCAGAGCCCTGAAGGGCGCTTGCAGGGGTGCCAGATGTTTTGCTTAGGACACGTCAGAAATTTCTTGCTCCAGCTCAGATCTCGCGCCTCGCCCTAAGGGCCTGATCCAAAGCCCATTGGAGTCAATGGGCGTCTTCCCGTTGACTTCAGTGGGCTTTGGATGAGGTCTCATGACTTCTTATTAAGAAGAAAAAGGGAGGAGTAGCATTTCATGCAGCTTGGGAAATTAATGTCCCTGCCCCTAGGCTGTATTTGTAACAATAATCTGCTGGGGAGAATGGAGACGCTAAAGAGTCCCCTTCTCATTATCATTAAAGAGTCAGATCTTCTGATGGTGTAAACTGGCCTAGCTCCATTGACTTCAACTGAGGCCTGGTCTACACTAAAAAGTTAGGTCAACCCAGCCACGTCGCTCAGGGATGTGAAAAGTCCACACCCCAAGTGACGTAATTAATCCGACTTAGCTGCTGGTGCAGACAGTGCTCCGTCAATGGAAGAATTCTTCCGTCAACCTAGCTCCTGCTTCTCTGGGAGGTGGATTAACTATGCCGACAGGAGAACCCCTCCCGTTGGCGTAGGCTGTGTCTACAGTGACATGATACTGTAGCATTTCAAGTGTAGACAAGCCCTGAACTAGGCTGATTTAGACCAGGTCTTCAGCTGGCACCAGAAGTCCACTTTGGGGCCCGATCCTGAGAACTCCTGAGCAGCCCTAGCTCCCGCTCAAGTTAGCATCAAGCCTTGACTGCCAAATGTATCTGAAGGGAAACCCAATGTCCTGTTTTTCAGAGGTGCTGGGCATCTGCAGCTTTCATTGCCTTCAGCTGGACTTATGGGCACTCAATGCTTATGCAAATCAGGCCTTGGGATTGGACTATCGTCCTTTGAGTCGAATGCATTATTTCTAGGGTCCCGTTTACATGGTCATCATCAGCACTCAAGTCACCACCCACAGCACTTCTAAAAGGACTCTCATTGGCGGGCATCTCAAAAAGCAAAATGGTCCATCCTGTGTCCCTACAGATCATTGAACAAATGGGGAAACTGAGGCTTTGAAAACTTATGATGTATTAATTGTCTGTTGTATGCTCAGCACTGTACAGAATATGGCTTATGGGCCAGATTGACTTAATGGGATTTAGCCACCTTGATGTTTTTGAAAATCTAACTAGGCAGCTCTCTGCATCTTCAGAGGCCTAAATATCTTTAAATATTTGGCCTTACGTGACTTATCTACAGTCATGCAGTACTTGGCACAATGCAGTCCCGACTTTGCTACTGTAATAAAAATAATACATTACCAGGCGAGGAACCCAGGAGTCCTGGCACCCAGTCACCTTATTCTACTAGTCCCCAATGGCTTCCTAACTGGTTCACATCCAAGGAGACCAGAAAAGCATTTCTCTTTCCTTCCTCAGTTGGATATTTTAATGCTACCTTAAAGAAGGGGTTTGACTTTCTTACACATTTTGCCAGGGCGGGCCGAAGGTGGAGAGGGGGATCGTTTCATACTCACTTCCCATGCGGGAGCAGGTGGTGAGCGTTCTGCTGGGAGCGGGTGACAATCCGGAAGTGAAAAAGAGGATTTTCAGAGCCCAGTTTATGTCTCTGTAGGAATGCAGAAGGGGAGACAAAACCTAGGGGAGCCTCTATTTATGTTCAACGAAAGGCCTAGTTTGCCGGTGCTTAAAAGGGACCCTCAGTGCATTTCACTCTGTTCTGTTCAGGTTCTTCTATCACCTCAACACCATAGTATCTGAGCACCTGCACGCAGCACTGGTTAAGAGCAGCAGTGCTGGGGAACCCAGGCCCAGGTGCTTAGTATTCAGCATGCATGCTCCTTAAAAGAAAAAACAGAGGCCAATTTTAAGATCTCACTGTATATCCGTGCGTCACACACGGCAGGGGCTTTCTGGGGGATGTATTTTGGGGCGCGGGGGGGGTGGGGGTGGGAAGAGGGATATCCTTACTGCTTACAAACATTTCCAGAAAGAGTTCAGGAGGGAGGGAGGCGCAGTGGGTGTGTGTGGGGGGGAAATCTGTTGCTCTCACTGAAACAATCTGCTTTTGTTGTGTACGAAACAGGCCTAAATTAAGTTTGACATAAAGAGGCCAGATTTTTAGAGGCCGGGCCAAAATCCTGAGCTGCGTTATGCCAGAGTCTGGAGTGGAATCGCTCTGGATTTACACCGATTGCCAGGGAGGACAGGGTCTAGCCCCACAAAGGGAGGAGCTCTCCAGCGGGAGACAAAGTGTGTGCTCTGCAAAGTGCGCTCTGTAATCCTGCCCAGCATTCCCAGATGCCTCTGTAATCTGGGCAGATTCCGCTCAATAAAGCCCCATCCAGGTCCTTCTCCGAAGGCCACCACCACACTCCAGAAACCATCCCTCCCGCATGCCTCGCTCTCTCCCTCGCGCCTTCTCTTGGCACCTTAACAATTCCTGAGCCACCTCCGGGCGACAACTGGGCAAACCAGAGAAAGATCCCCAGGCACATCCCACCCCGCTGAGACCTCGCGCCCCGGTAGGCCCCCCCGAATCTCCGCCAAGCAAGCCAAAGGGATGAAAAACGAGCCAGCTTCTAAACAGTTAACGCATCACAAAATGAAGAGAGAGGATCCAGCCATCTTATTTCCCTCCTTCTCCCTCACTCCAGATTAAATTCCCCCCCAAATATTCTCCCCCTCTGCCCCAGCCTGTGCTGGATTCCCTCCCACCCCACCCCGTCCCCGCACGATGGAAAAGGAGCACGCGCCCAAGGGTCGGCTCCGCATTGTAAGCTTCTACCACGTTAGCTGCGGCTGCCATGTTGAATGGCAAATCCGACATGATTCAACATTTTCCCTCTGCGTTGCATAGGGTGGCGAAAAGAAACACACACCCAGCCCCAAGGACCAGCTGCGAATGGCCCAATCTGCAGGTGGAGGGGAAGGAGAGGCCAAAGAAAAAAATGATCATCGAATCCTGTTTCAAATATATGTTTTTTTAAAGGCAGATGTTTTAGCCCCAAGGACCGAAGGAGCAAAAGGAAGAGGAGGGGTGAGGGTTGCAGCAACAATAAAGCAACTGAGCATTTGGACAAATGAAACGTTATTTAAAATTAAAAAAAAAATACAATAAATGTAAGAGCTAGGTTTGATTTCGTACCAAGCCAGCGAGAGAGACGCACCGTGGAGGAGAATAGTTTGGTTGTTGAAGTAGCCACTGGATTTAGCTCCGCTTTTCCGGACAATCATCGGGGAAGGATCCTTTTTCGAGAAAGGCCAGTTTGAGGAAGGCAGCTTTTTTTCCCCCTCTCCTCTCTCTCTCTCTCTCTCCTCCCTTTCCTTCTCCTAACAGCTCGGCGCTAAGAAATGGGCGGTGCCTGCATGCCAGGCTTCATCCAAACGAGACACCAAAGGCCGAGCAGAGGCTGGCACAAAGGGACGCTGGCAGGAATTCCAGCACTCAGGGGCTGCCTTTCTTTGTGCCCATGGGACAATCCCTCTTTATTACATAGCTTGGATTTAAAAAAAACAAAAACAAAAATAATAATAATACAAAAAAACCCGTTCTGGCTGCTCTTCCGAGAGCCATGCTCAGAAAAGTTACCCAAGCTTCCTTTAGATCAACACAGGTTAAACAAAAGGCCAGTTTTTACCCCCCCCCCGCCCCGACCTCCCCAGCATGCCAGCCCCACGTCCGCGTAAAAATAAATCCTTCCTGGTTTTCAGGAGGTGGCGGGGTCCTTTAGCAGGAGAGAGAGCGAGACACACCCAAAAAGAGAGATCGATAGCGAAAAACCTTACCGCAGAGGAAGAATCGTTTTTTGCTGCCTTTAAGTACCTGGGGCTGTGCCGATAATAAAAGGGGGTTAAGTAGTGGGGGTAGGGGGCGGAGGGGCAGATGGGGCTGGTAACGCAGCTGGGCAGATGCCAAAAAAAGCAGAACAAAACACGTTTTCGTTTTGTCTGCACCAGCCTGCGACAGAGAGCGAGCGAGAGATGCACAGTGAAAAAGCTGCTGTGCTCGGAAACGGGCCTACAGCCACTTTGGAAGCCTCGGCAATAATTCTCTCCCTTCCTTGCCTTCACCCTGCCCACTCTGGCTCGACTGCCAAGTCGGAGAGTTGGCACGGCTTCCCAGGCAGCGCGGAACAAAGCCGTCACCCATCCCTGAACAGGCGCTGACGGCAGGCTAAGTGACAGGCGCATCTTCTGCATGTTAATCCAAGGGGTGAGGAGGAGAGAGCAAAATCCACCGGCTCCCCTGCCACCCCGGCACCGGCCACTCCTTTCCAGCCCAAGCCCCGGTGGGCCCTGCGCACAGTTTGGAAGGCAGGAGCCCTGGAGAAACAGAGCTGGCCGCGCCGGCAAGTCAAGCAAACAAACAAGCACAGGATTTAAATACAAGCCACCACCCGAGCCAGCAGCACCCTGGCAAACAAGGCCGCTCAGCATCTGCTGTACCTGTTCCCGCTGCCTTCATCTCGCCTTGGAACCGTGACAAGAGAGAAGCGTCGCCTCTGGTGGGCTCTCTCAGCCTCGGGTCTGCAACCCTGTGCAGGAAGTTGGCACCGATCCCAGGTAGGACTTTACTCCCACATCCCCCCCCCCCGCCCGCCTCCCGCGTCTTTCTCTCCCCTCCCCTCCTCCACCCACCCTATTCCTTGGCAAATCCCCCCCCCATTCTTAACTTAGTCCCCCCCTCGGCTGCACCGGCGCGGGGCATGCTAGCGACCAGACACGTTCAATGCCCTTCAGAGCACCAGCCAAGAAACACGCACACGCACACACCCCTTAAGGGTGACCCAGGCAGCACAGAGAAAGCAGCTGGCTCCCCTAAACGCCTGTTTTGACACGAGGGTTGGGTTGGGTGGGTCGGGATGGGGGGTTTTGGGGGGGTTTGTTTGGGGTTTTTTTGTGCTTGGCAGACTGGTCCAAACACGAGAGGAAGGGAGAAAAAAAAATTTACAGCCCCGACTCTGTCCAAGACAATCAGAAGGGAAGGTGGAGATTAGTACAACTCCCAGATCACAACCCTCCCTCCCAGCTTCCCCCCCCCCATCCATTCACACCCCCCCTTCGTCTTTTTTAATATTCCCAGCGCCTGCATTATTCCAGTCCACAAGCGGGAAGGAGTTTACAGTACAGGCTCTCTCTTGAGGCTGCCAGCAGGAAAGAGAGGGAGTTCTCACAATCGAACAGCGAGAAGAGCAAGGAGAAATTAACATCCAATTAGCGCCGTGTTTAACGAGGGAGACAGAGGCAGCCGTTGTTTTATTGCCCTGTTCTTTTCATTCGGATCTGACAGGCAGCGCGGCAGGCACCCCCGGCTGCAGTGACGTCATTTTCCCCCCCTTTTTCCTCCTCCAAGTTTCCCAGAGGTGGATCGTCAACTCAGCTGGGGAAATTCGTTACTTTGTTGCATTAAAAATTATTCTCCCTCCTCCCCCACTCCAAAAATGAACAAAAAAACCCATCTCCCTTCGTTCTTGCAAAAGCCAAACCGGGAGAAGATTTCTCTGCGTCTGTCTCGCTCGCTTGTTTTCCTGCTCTGAGACAGCTCTCTCAGCTTGTAAAAGTTCGAGCCATGTGACACTCCACCCAGCCTCCTTTGGCAGTGTGACAAGAACCGCTTTGGTGTATCAAAGAGAACAGGCAGCTTTTAAGGAAGAAACTCGATTCAGAAAGATTAAAGAATTATGATGTTTTAATCAAGGGAGAGAGAGAGGTTGGTGAGGGAAAACTGCTCATTGCATCTAGATCAACATGAGCGGCCTTCACAAAAGGCTGTGGCAGGAGTGTTTGAGGAGGTGGTGGTGTGGGGGGGGGGGGCTTTGAAGCAGAATCAGGAAAGACGTATCTAACAGTTCCAAGCTCGTCATTTTCCCCTCCTCCTGCCCCCCTCCTTTAGGCTGCTGTGAAGAGAGGCCGCGGAGCAAGCATCACATTTGCAAGGTCTTCGCCATCTCTTGTGGAATCCTGCAACCTGTCACAAAACTCTCATGGGACATTTCCATCTCCAGAGCGGCAGGGACAGACAAACACACTGCCCAGCACATGTACAAACCTCAGTGAGCTTCACATCTGGGAAGATGAGGCTGCCTTTGCTTCTCCTCCACATCCCGGCTCCCCCTTCCCACACTGCAGAGCGGATTCATCGCCGCTTTCACAGACGACGAAAGTGACTATTAAAAGGGCTGGCTCCTTATAATCATCCATTAAACCTTCTCAAAATCCTAAACTCTTTGCCATTTCAAAGCTGGTCTTTCTCAGGAGGAACAATGGGACTGGGTAAGTCTAACAGGAACCACCTGGCTTGGTGTTACTTGTTTTGGGTAGTTTCCCTCCAATGCTACCATGGGGACGTATTTTGCCCTGATTCCTAAGCTGGACTTGCCAACCCTGACAGAGAAACCAGCCACCCTCCCTCCAGGACACCTGAGCTGTTCCCCAGCTCCAACAGACAACACCAGGCTTAAGCAACAGAATCCCAGGTTTCCAGTAGTATTTCGTATGAGCTTTAGGCCTGCTCTACACTACACCGTTAAGTCAACACAAGGAGCCTTACGTTGACCAAGTTGTGGATGTGTCATTTAGAAGATCAGTCTCTTCTAGATGACTGACCCCTTGGGCAGGTGCTTAAGACAGATCTTGTTAAGAACATAAGAACGGCCCTACTGAGTCCATCTAGCCCAGTATCCTGTTTTCCGACAGTGGTCAATGCCAGGTGCTTCAGAGGAAATGAACAGAACAGGGAATCAAGTGATCCATCCCGTTGGCCATTCCCAGCTTCTGGCAAACAGAGGCTAGGGACACCATCCCTGCCCATCCTGGCTAATAGCCCTGGATGGACCTATCCTCCATGAATTTATTGAACTGTATTATAGTCTTAGCCTTCACAACGGCCTCTGGCAAGGAGTTCCACAGGTTGACTGTGTGTTGTGTGAAGAAATACTTCCTTTTGTTTCTCTTAAACCTGCTGCCAATTAATTTAACTGGGTGACCCCTAGTTCTTGTGTTCTGAGGAGTAAACAACACCTCCTTATTTATTTTTTCCACACTTGAATGATTTTACACTACTGTATCCCCTCTTAGTCATCTCTTTCCCAAGCTGAAAAGTCCCAGTCTTATTTACTCTCCTCGTTGTGCTATATAAGCACAGCCCACTCTTGCAAGATGCTGAGCACCTAGAACTCACAGCAGAGCCAATGGGAAGTCAGGGTACTCGGAAGCTCATAACCAGTGACTGCAACGGCATGGGGGTTAGTACATCCCCGGGTTTTCAAGGGAATTCCAACGAGGCGGAAGGGTCTCAGCAATGAGTCAACCAAGCTTCCTGGCATAGAGGGGATCAGAACCCGGGCTGCTGGCCTCAAACAGGAGGGACAACGGAGGAATTAAGCTGTAAATTAGCACTTCAGGCCTCTTCAAAGTCTCCTCCAACAGCCGTAGCCATCCAAGGAAAGCCACATACCCTTCTGATCACAAGGAGCGCTTACGGCGTGGCCCCATCTTGTCAACATCCCACTGCCACCTGAGGGTACTCTCTTGGGGAGGCCTCTCCTCACTCTGCTGATGGTAGCAGTACGATTATACCTGTACATCCAATGGCATAAGCCCCAGCGAACCAGGGTTTTGCACACTCATGTGTCGAGAGGGGATTCATCTCCTCTCAACTCGGTGACTTTGCTGTACTGGACCACAAGCTCCTTGAGATGGCACCCACTTCACGCTTTGTTGCACTTTGGGTCGGGAGCGAGGTGGCCCCAAGGGGAAGATGAATTATATGTGATTGGGCAAGATCGCCTTGATAGGATTCAGTGCCTGAAAAAAGCTCTGGGACTGGATGCTCAAAAAAATGTCCTCTCTACTTCTCTCTCGTCCATCCAAGCTGTCTGCCACTCCTGTCTAGGCCCTGCCATCACTTTCCCCACTCCCTCCTCCTAGGTTCCAAGCACCTTCTAGTCTACCAGCTGCCCTTCCTCATAGCCAGGGTGAGATTCTGGCTCAGATCCTCAAAGGTATTTAGATGCCTAAATCCCATTTTCAATAGAAGTTATGTGCCTAAACAACATCAAGGATCTAGGCCTCTGTCCCCATCAGATACTGAATCGGATACCCCTATACATACCCAGTTATGCCCCAGGATCCAGCCATTCTGCCCAACTACAAAGGTAGCAATGAGATCCAGTTCCATCACCACTTCCCAGCCCCTCCGCTGTGGATTTTCTTTCCAACACAACATGAGCACCCAAAATGCTGCTGACTCATACCTGCCTTTGCTTCCCCTTCATAAACAGCACCTTACAATGCCCCAGGGTGACCAGATGTCCCGATTTTTATAGGGACAGTCCCGATATTTGGGACTTTTTCTTATATAGATGCCTATTACCCCCCACCCCCGTCCTGATTTTTCACACTTGCTGTCTGGTCACCCTACAGTGCGCTCTCTGGGAGCTGCTGGAATCGTAACAGGCAAGGCGAGCAGCTGAAATTGTCCATCCCAGCCTGGTCTATCGAATCAGGGGCTTCGCAATGTCCTAGGCTCGCAGTGAGCTAGAACAGCTCACCTTAACACTAGGTCAAGCACAAACTGACCAGGATCACTCACTGCTGCCTGAGCTCCACCCTCCTCCCCAAGGCACAGTGTCCTAAGTCACCGTTAGAGCAGAAGAGGAGCTCTCAGGGCTCCTCATCCCTAACAAACCATCTTGCCCAGCCAGGTGCTGTAACAGCGCTAGACACAGCCAAGCCCCCGCTGTTGTTCCAAAGCAGGAAGGATGAAAGCCTGGTGACTCCACCTCCTCAAAAGCAGGAATCAGCTGCTCTTTGCCTACATGCAGCTTGTGTGGGAGGGGAGAAAGCAAACATTCCTATCCTCGTTAAGGGCATACTCTGCAGGAACACGCCTGGGGCCTGCAGTAGGAATGGCTCTACAGCTAGTTGGGGACCCACGAGAACCCTCCGTGCATGGGGTGTTGCAGTATCTTCCTTTGTCCACGGGCACTTCGACACCACCGCACTGGACCCACCAGAACCACTTCCATTTCCCTTCACGCAGCCCCTGTGTGTGTGTGTGAGAATCTTCTCGGACTCTCTTAGCAGAAAGGAGGCTGTGACAGGCCACAAGGGAGCAGGGCTGCGGGAAGGGAAAAGGAAGTGAAGCCAGGCCAATTGTGGTAGGGCTGGAATGAAACACCAGCCATTATGCATGGGGCTTTCATAGCTTCCCTGCGCTTAAATGAAAACCTTGGGCTGGTTTGACACCACCGCGGTGAAGAGGAAGCCACACTAACAGAAGCCCAGCTCAGAGAGGCTCATCGGCGCTTCCTTGTAACTAGTGCAACAAAGCCATGATCACCTAGGACTTTATGGCAGCCATGCAGAGCGTCACAGGGAGAGCACTCAGCCTCCCACTGCAAAAGCCAGAGGCCCTTACCACTTAGGAAAATCCCTGTTAGCAGTTCAAAGCCCATGACACATGGTTGGGCAGGGCTGACTCCATCCAGCAGTGCCTAGACACCAGCCAGTGCGTTATTCTTTATTCTTGAGCAACCCTTTCATGCTGAATTTGCAAACCAAAACAAATTTGAAGGGTAGTTAGCTACAAGGATTCCGTTGCCAGAGGAAAATTAGGCGCAACCCTGATCCACCTTTTGCTTTTTCTTACCATGTGTGTGATCTCAGTCATGAAGCCCTGTTTCTGGCCTCTCTCCTTCCTAGACACTTGAGAGCTGATAAACCCAATCTCTCTTCCCAGCTAAAGGCTTTTGATAACAGCTGAGCAGCAACAGAGAGCGGGCGAGCCCCACCCTTCAGATTCCAGGTAAAAGGTGAGAGAAGAGAGTCACTATTCAAACACTGGCTGCTCATTTGCCCACTAGGTGGGAGAGAACAAACTGACACAGATTCTCATAGGTACCTATTCTCTGTACTGAGGTCTCTGGGGAATTGGGCATCTTTATGTAACTATACGTCACCTCCAATCCCCACTTTGCAGCTGGCTCTGCCCTCTCCAGAATGGACTGACACCTAAACTCTTCCAGTGTTTGGGATCCCAAGCCCAGATCACCAGAGGTATTTTAGACTCCTAAATGTGATTCAGGTGTATCAGATTCTTTTTGCTCAACCTGTACTCAGCCTAGTCAGTTTCCTATGGGGCAAAGTTGGCCCAGAATCATAGAAATGCAGGGGCTGGAAGGGACCTGGAGAGGTCATCTAGTCCACCTCCCTGCACTGAAAGCAAGACCATGTATACCTAGACCACCCCCCATCAGTCGCTGAAAGGCTTAACAGTAGGAATCTGAATTTCCAGCAGTCACTCCCCTTTGGAATAACACTGGTTAACCTTAAATAAGGAACCTTTAGATGACTGGAAAGCTGACAGACCTGGGGTTTAATAATAAATGAATGCACCACATTAAAGATAATGATGAAACTCCCAAAGCCCAAGAGGTTGTTCTTAGTTTTATTTTAGAGTACAGTCAAATCCTCTGGAACTAATCTCACAGTTACAGAATATGGCCATGCATTTCTTGTTCCTCTTTAACAAACCATATCAAAGGGATGATGGGGGGAGGGGTAAAGGGAGGCTAGGCCTGATCCCATAACACTGGTGGGAAGTGAGGTTCTTGCTTGAAGTAGCTGCGATTCCAAAGGCTGCAAAGCCTTTCAGTTACACATCTCACTCAAAACATACCCTGCGGTCAGGCCTTGGAAGTGTGAAACAAGCCCATTTGTACCAGTGAAGCACCCCAGTAATGACAGATCAGGACCCTGAGGCCCTAGGTATGGAAGATGCTGGTTGTCCCATTCACCAAATGAATCCCTGCATATTCCAGGAACCACGTCAATCCAGACAGAGCTTTCTCTGGCCACCCTGGGGGCAGACTATGCAGGAAAGCACCACAGGGCGGCCGTGTCTGTCTCTCACTTCATTGTGCGTTAGGAAAATTGCGACAATCACTAATGCATTTGTTCATGGACCTGGAAAGCTCTTCTGGGGCCTACTTAAGGAAGATGAAAGCACGCATGTTTGGAATGGATGTAAAGGACTGCTTCGCAGTACGAGCAAGACAGGGATTAAAATGGAGGGGAAAGCTGCCTGGCCTTAGTAGCAGCACAGAATGCAGGTAAAACATCTGTCTCAGAAGCTGTAGATAAATCCCACTCCGCGACCAGGTGAGCTCTGCTACATGAGGCCCCAAAACACCAACACATGCACCTTAGTGTCTCTGAAGTGCACAGAGACCCAATGAAATTCACTGTCCGATATTCTCTTCACTCTTCCTGCTTTAAGTTTGTTCCATTACTCTAGTCAGCGGCTAATAAACAAACAGACTTAATGTTCACATTTAAAGTTAAGCCGATTCATTTTGTAGCAACCTTACCTATTAGCAAATTGAACTAATATAAAAAAAATGCTGTTCATTGGCACCTCGGAAGTAAGATGGCACATTTCTGGTCTAGCTGTATCAAGTATCGGTGCTTCGATCTGCCAGAGGCAGCAATTGAAGCTGTTGTCTGAGTTTGGTCCTGGTTGGCTTTGAGTCACCACTGTGACTCTCTGTGGCCAGTACAGGAATAGACACATGCCAGCTCAGACTAGTGGTCCATCTAATCCCATATCCTATCTCACACAGCAGCCAGGGAATATTCTTTTTGTGCACACTTGCGTGTCAAGTTTAGCAGGGAGTCTAGCAGGGAGTCCCATAGATTATACTCTTAAATCCCTGTTGCAGCAGGTTCACAATTAGAGTCAGGCCTTTCTTCTCACGCCCCTAGCCATGCACTAGCTGCATAATCCTCCCCAAAGTGCTCTGCTCATTCTAGTTCAAGCCCCAACACTTCCCCTGAGAGACACTTCTAGTATTATTAATCTCACTGTGACTTCTTGTTCTTGTCTCAGCCTCAGTTTCCTTTTAATTTAATAAGGTTATTTCCCATAACACCCCCTTGGAAAGCATCTTGTTCCTTGGTGTTCATATACCCTTCAAGAGCTTGAATGTGGGAGACATGGGGTATTCAAAGCCAGGATGGAGCTGCTTGGCAGGTTTCTGGCTGATGAAATGTCCTCCAGAGCGAAGGATATATTACTGGTTATCTGGAGGTGGTACTTTACCAGGAATGGGACTTAACAGCCTCATCCCAGCCTGGTCTCTGCCTCCTTTAACCCTTTCTGGCTCTGACGACTCACATTCACGTCAAGATGGAAGGTGCTTCAGTAGACCAAGAACTTACAAAGAGGATGTTCACTAAGGTGAAGGCTGGAGACGAGAGCGCTAAGAAGCTTAGGCTCGCTTATTGCATCACTATGCGGCACAAAAAGGGATGGCCAGGGTTTGGCGTGATCCGGTCAGCAGGGCAAATTCAGACGTTGCTGCTTTCCAGTTAACATCTCCCAAGTATGTGCTGCCTAAAGCCGCTTCTTGTCCCTGCACCTGGATCCCTGATAGTGTCTCTGGGCTGGGCTGTTTAAACACCTGGGTATTATCCACTTTTAAACAAACAGACTGTCCCTTCTGACTCAAGAACTGCAAGCTGAGCCAAAGAGCCAACACCCTTCTGCTCTGACTGGTACGTCATGGTCAAACCAACCATCAGAAAGGGAATTCAACCCAGCTGCAGTTCAGAAGCCAGCTCTCCACAGGCTGATTCATTTCCGGCCTCGCTGGACAGGAGGCGGCTTGTTCCTGCACCTTGGTCTTCAGATGTAAAAGAAAAATATCAAAAGAGGCTTTACGGGTTCCTTACAAAGAGTCCATGTTTGTCCCTTTCTCCCAGACGAGGTAATGAGTTAATAAAGTGAAAGCAGAATTAGTCAATGGGGAACCTTGCTGCTGCAGACACTCTGCGGAAAAGCAGGCTGGACCCTCGGAACAACTGCCCCTAGGAGAGAGAAGAGCAGAGGGGTTAGGGGAGGTAGGCGGAGAGTCCTCGGCACAGCTGCCTGAATGGGTGCTGAGAAGTGGCAGTGCTGCGTTTGGCAATCAGGAACAGGGAGCTGTAAGATTAAGCCCTGAACTGTACAGCAGGGATTGACTCCTAGCACCCACCACTGTAGTACTACAGTGCCTCCGTATTACTGAAGGGTGAGGATTCAGCTGAACTTCATCTTTTTAATTGCTAGAGAGCTCAAGCAACTTCTGTCCAACGGACAAGAGAAGCAGAAACAAACATGGGCGTGTACCATGCAATTGCTACACTCTGTAGATATGCAAACATGGCACAAACCTCACGTTTCTTGCAAGTTACCAATGTAGCCCTCGCAGTCCTGATTTATAACATCAGTGACCCCTGATCATCTTCTGGCCTGATCACTCCTTCAACCTCAGGATTCCAAGCTTGCAAGTTTTCATTCTTTTGTGCTTAATAATTTGCCCTTCCATAGGACTTTTCAACTGAGGATCTCAAAGCCCCGTTACACCCCAGGAGCTAGGTAAAGGATATATATCTATATCTATTGAAGCCAAGGGGTCACACACACACGCACACGCACACAACTTGCTATACGACAGGAAGGATGAGCTTGTTTAGGCTGAATGTAAGATAAGTTGGGATCTGGCAGGATGCTCCCCTACCATTCCAAGCAGTGTCATGGAATTTTTATTTTGAATGATGCAAGTTCCATGGAAGTCTCCCATCCAGGCTGAGTTAGTCAAACCCCAGCATAGCTTGCAAGATCAGGTAGGAACATAACCCAAGAGTTTCCAAAATTGCCCTGCACAAGTGGCCTCCTCCTTGAGGTGATAAAGGGTCAGAATGAGGAACAGGAAGGATAATCCAGTGGTTAGAGGACAACAGCCTAGGACTGAAGAGACCTAGGTTTGAGTCCCTGCTCCACTTCCTGTGAGATCTTGGGCAAGTCTGCCCCTGTGCCTTGTTTTCCCATCTGTGCGACAGGGATAGTAGCATTGCCCTGTCTCACCCGGGTACTGTGAAGATAACATTAAAGTTTGTGAGGGAGTAAGGGGAGCCATACAAGTACCTTAGAGAGACAGAACGACGGCAATGAAAAGTGTTGAACAACAGGCTACAAAGCAAATTAGACAAGACAGGCTGCTGGCGCCTGGTGTTGGGCTTCTCCTAGGCAGGCCTTGGAGACCTTTACAGCCTAAGTATGAACATGGCCAATCCCACACGGCCAGCGAAATCCTGCTGTTGGCTATGACTTCAACTAAGTAAAACTGCCCGCTGCAGCCCTCACCTGAGCACTGAGGTGTCTCCAACACTGAACCCAGGATATAAACACAGGAGAGTACGGAGGGAGGCCGGCACGTAACCTGCATGGCAAAGAGAGAGGATCAAGGAGGAGAATGGACACAAGCTGCACTATGCAGGGAGAGAGAGCATCAGACAGCACACAGGACTAGGTGTAAGTGGGAATACTGAAAGTGTCAGCATCAGGCTAAAGGCCAAGTTACTGATAAATAATTCACACCATGACATACTGCGTCAGTCAATTACAACTGATGTGTGCAAATATTGAGTTACCGGGACACATTCAAAACGTGACACTATAAACCTGCATCCCCAGCTCCATCTGCACACTAAGGAACCAGCTGTTACCCAGAAAATGCTATAGCAAAGGTTCAGCTCCCATTCCCTTTAGGTTTCCGTCCATTCCCAATCTGCCACGTCTGAGAACTCAACGTGAAGAGAGTGTGTGTGTTTGGGGGTGGCAAGGCTGGCTGAGCTGGAGAAAACAGCTTCGCTTGTTCTCATTTCTCCCCGACGCCCATCCTCCTTGCTTGGATTTGCCTCTTGATCGTCTGGCCCTCTTGCCCCCTTTGGGGCACTGCCCCCTGTGCTAGAGCAGTCTCTGATCCTATCTCCCTAATACCCTCTCTATTCTCATTCCTATCAGACCACATCATTGATAATCTCTGCATCCCCCTTTAACTATTGTCCCACGTCTTGTCCGGGCCTTCTGATCGAAGAGTCTTTGGGACAGAGAATGCATTTTACACTGTGTAAGGGACTATATAATTTATGGTTCCATTTGAAAGTGTTAAGACTATTATTGAAAACTACTGACTGTCGATCTCTGTCAAAAGAAAAAAGGTCTCACAGAATGGAGAGCAAAACATTAGGCCTGAGAATGATAGACATACCCGCAATTGTTCACGGCCATGAGATCTCCCACTAGAAGGAAGGGATACGTCAGCATGCTCACAGCAATCTGAAACCAAGAATCACCAAACTGAGCCGCTCCCTTCTGCACTACTCAACTCTAAAAGCAGCAGGAAACAATAAGGTCAAGCAGGAAGGCTTCATGCAACAATAGGACAGGTTGGAAGTGTCTAGCACACTTTGGGTGCTGTAAAAAAATAAATTAACAACAAACCATCAGGCAATTTCTAACCTCTGCTGTGACAAAGGCTATTGGTTAAAGAAAGTTTTGTAGTATCTCCCTGCGAGTATTTATTCAGGCTGGGAGATGACTTTCCTCAAAGACCCATCTCCTGTGCTCCTTCCACCCACAGAGCTGCCACATTATTGGTTTGAATGTGTTATACAAGAATAGGAAAGCTTAGTGGTGCTGCATGTCACATTGAGTAAGTCAAAGAAGAGGGGTAGTGTCTCCCTGTTACTCAATACATCAAAACTGTAACATTTTGGGTGTTAGTGAAGTTACTCTGATCTTTAGGTTTAAACCCACCCATTCTGATTTGGATTGTTTTGAGAAAGAGACACACTGGAACCAATTTACAGAAATGATGAGCACCCACAACTCCAACTGTAAGTCAATGGGACCTATGCGTTTCTGATACTCAGTCCCATGGTACATGGAGACTAGACATAAGCTTACATCAGTTTACCTACAAACAGGAAAGGAGGCGCACCCACAGCCACAGCAGCACCCATACACAGTGCGCACACACACGCCTGTAGCCTGGGAACATCTATGCATGAGCGCTCACACCAGAGAATGCGGGGCATGGGGAGGAGGAGAAGTAGTGTGCCGACCGTCTACATACCCCCATCACAAACTTCGTATAGCTCCGGATCACAGATGCCTGGCTGAACTGCAATGGAGAGGAAAGGAAGAAACCAGTGGGGTCATGGAAAAGGCAGCTGATGTCAGCATCTCATTTTGTCCTTAAGTTAAACCCACCTCACACAAAAGCTTAGCACAAGGTTTCAGTGTATTGAACAAGAGAAAGTAAAGTAAATGGCAGAAAATCAGAGGTGGCCACCATATGGCATATACATGGAACACCCAAGAAAGGAGTGTGGAGTTAACAGATGGACAAGGGCACCCTTCGTGCCAACCACAGCAGTAGCTTGTGTGAAGACATCTTTTTACTAAGACATAAGCTGCCCCTTTCTTAATTTTATCCAGGCCACCAGTCATTGGTTACATGGGAGTAACTTTTGGTTACTCACAACTTGGCTTACGTTTGATCCAGTAACCTAGGGGAGAAAGATTCTATATGCCACATCAGCAATGTAAAGAGTACAGGAGGAAAAAATGAACAGTTCAATCCACTGGTTCTACTTTCTATGTATTCACAGTTTCTAATGATTGGCAGTTTCATCATATTTTCCTACCTGTCTTGTACCCTGAAACCTGGCTGCTTTGCATAGTTATAACGTAGCCTAAGAAACTATCGAAACCTCTTGTAAGTCTGTTTCCATTAGGATATCTGGGGGAGGGAGGGGTAAGAGTGGAGGCCAAGCATTTGAGTCAATAGATCTAACACAGCCCAATGGTTTTAGACCAAAATGAAAAGGGACCATTTTCTAGTTTAGATGCAGCTGAGCTTGTGATGTTCACACCATTTTAGGCTGAAGACTTGGAACGGCAGAGTCTGAACCCAAACTCCAGCCCCAATTCATGCTTGAGCCTGTCCTCTTTCCCTCCAAATCTCAACCTAAACCGGACCCCGATTTGAACATAACATCTTCATCCCTCTTTTAGGGCCTGATCCGAAGCCCACTGATTTCTACGCACCCTACTTTCCATTAACCCCTCTATTTTAAGGTCTGACTACAAACCACCTGATGCTGGAGCGAAGGCATCAAAACCCCCTGCTGCTCCAGTTCAACAGAATCACCACTTACATTGTCATCCACTGCATAGGTGTTGATGAAATGAGCCAGGATGTTACAGCACCACAAGAAGACCACGTCTCCCAGGATGTGAGGGACTAAACCACTGAAAAAATAAGAACATGAACATAAGGCAGAAAGTCTCCTGGGCTACCGTCTGCATCCCACAACTGGGATGGGAGAAAACACCCAGAAGGGCTTTGAAAACTGGGTTTGTTCTTGATTGAATATTTAAGTCATGTATTGCTGATTAAATATGCCAAACTGACACCCCTGAAAACAGAAATCCTGCTTATTCAGGTACAGCTCAGATAGTGGCAATGAAAGCTTTCCCCTTCCTCTCCCCCACTAACCCACACAAATGGGCCTCAACCCTGACCAGCCAAGGACATCTCTACAAGGGGTGGAGAATTCATTCTTCCCACATATTTGCTCCTTGGTCTCCCTGCTGAGAGCGACAATAAGGTATCAGTTGTAGAGGTTGGTTCTGAAACATGGGCTCTCTGCATTGCAGAAGAGGTTTTGTTTACAGCAGTATAACTTACACCCGTTAGTAATCCCATAATAAACAAACACTTTTGGCAGCGAAGACAAAGCCCTTGACACCTTCATGCTAGGAACGGACTCCAACTGCAGGGAGACAGACTGAGATGATCTAAGAGATGTTAGAATTGGAGGCCCCTTCCATAGCTATGAACTGGACTAAGATCTACCAAGTCATCTCAGCCCACTAAACAGTTGCTGCGCAATGCCTTTTGGCCACTACCAACCTAAGGTGGATCTGAACAAGTGATCTATAAGTAAAAGGCTTCAAATCCCACAATCAGCCCATCCCCCTTGTTCTTCCTTAAGCGCCATCTCATTGGTTAATCTCTATTTTGAAGTCTCAGCAAGATTCTTTGCTTGATAATTTCCTGTGGTAAATTTGTTTCTGCCTGCAATTCCTCAGCCTTTTCACAAGGACCTCTTAGAAGGTGGGAAAAAACTATTTCCTCTTCAGAGTTCTCTGTCCCTCTTACCCTTTGGGGAACTACTTTCCTGCCACTAGCATCATTTTAAGATGAGCAGTTTGCAGCCCTTTTTATCTGCAGAGGTTCGTTAAAGGCTGTTTTGAAAATGGGCACAGCCAGCTTTGCTCAGTTTTGTGGGGGCACCATCATCGAAGTTCTGCTGCTTTGAAGCCCCAGAATGGAATGTTCCCTACACAGTCTGGAGCACGGCCAGCTGGTCCTGCATGGACCGTGCAGCTGGAAGCATTCCACTTAAGCCAACGGTGAAGAATTGGGATGCAGGTAGACTCATTGGTTTTACCTTTGTCTCTCATTTTACTGAGCAGGCCAGTGCTCATGGTACCCTAATAGCAGAACTCCACTGCCCCCATTTTTAATGGCACTTAAAAATTAATGAGGCTTTTGGGAGATTAATTTCCTTATTTGTGCACCAGTCTCAACTACATTAGTGCCTCCGCCACAACAGCCACTTAATTAGTTTATGCTTCCTCTGCAGAAACAGAGCACAAGCCCGTTGCTTTAGCCTAGGTCCTACACACAGCTATTGCTCATGTATTTTAATTTCTCAGTGACAAAGGCTTTGGATGTTATCTCAGTAACCAAAGTAGATATTCAGAATATTCCTCCCAAAATTAGAACATTTATGGTAAATGAAACATGGGGGCTTTCAGAGCCTCCTCTGACAATTTCATTCACAGAAGTTCATTCCCCTTCTACCCACCCACCCCAAACAGATTGCCTTTTTTGGCTAGGAAACAAACACATATCCTGTTCCATTTGTTGAAGCAAGACAAACTTAAACAGAACAGCATGGTTTGGTCCATCTTGATTACATTAATGGTTTGCTTTTATATTTTTTAATGAATCCTGTGCTGTGAATGGCTGAACAGCTTTGAAGACTGCAGTTAATGTTGCCAAAGGAACAATACAAGCAGGGATATATAACTGATGATTAGCTATATAGCGAAGTAATTCACACGCACGAGCAAGAGATATGACAGAGAAAGTGAAGGTTCTAATTTTTCAGATAGTTTGGTTTTAATTTATAATTTTAAAATATTCATATAGTGTAAAAAATATTTTCTCTCTACAGTAATTCACAAGAAACATTTGGAAGGCAGTGCCCTGAATAATTGCAAATACAATGCAGCTGTGCTTAATGCTAATGAAGGAGGGAGGATTCTCGACATTGTTACTAGTCTGGAAGTAGTGTTTACTGGGTCTCTGCTTCTGTAAATAGACCTTTCCCCCATTTTCTTTGTACGGAGCTGGATCTCCAGGGTTACATTTATGGTAAGAACCATAATGCGTTACTATCCTTACTCAGTCAGAGATGGAAAAGAAAAATGTGCATGACGTATCAAAATCCAACGACATATCTATTATGCAAGGGCTAGCATTGGAATTCCTACTGCCCTAAGAGAGAATCAGGTATAGCTTTCCAAACAGAGCCTGAGAAAGAAGTTTTCACTTAACAGCTTAAGGACTTCATTTCAGAGAAGAGATCAAATGATTACCCTGTCACACTGGCAGGCAGGGTGCTACTGACATGAGAGAAGCAGAATAAGGAGGACATGGAATTCTGCCTCCATGGAACCATCAAATGCAACCCATAGCCAGTTGAGTTTGATGAATTTAGTGCTATTGGATTTGCACTGACACACTTCCTGTGAGCTATTAAGTTTAAATGGGTTACCAACAGAGTTTACTTTATATGGGGAAGGGAGCACCGTCAGCTTCTTCATACAGCATTTCTTATTGCCTCCATCTCTCTGTACAGGTTCTAATGAAAGGAGAATGTGAGCAGAGGCTAAAGGGAAGCACAGCTCCCTCTTCTGGGCTTGGGGTCCCCAATACCACCACCCTCTTTGGCTCAATGTGGTTCCGATTCACCAACCAGATAATCTGAAGAGGGAGCAGTGGGAGGAATTGGTGTTTAGCTGAAGAATTTCTGGGACTTCCAGCCTTCGCAATCAGGCAGAGGAGTCCAGCTAGGTGTCCTCTATTCACAGTCGCCTTTACCAAAAACATCTGGCCCTCCCTTCCAAGAGGAGTAGGTGTAAGAGACCCAGCTACAAGAGCCCTTCCCCTCACCAGGGGGCAGCAGAGAACACAGATTTTGCATGAACTCCTCTAAACTGTCTTTAAGTAGTCTCAAGTGCAGAACATTTGATGGAGTAGTCCAACATTTGCCAGGAAACACCTGCCATAACCCCACATTTTTGTTTGTGCTTTGACACAGCTTCCCCATCGTGGTCCCAGAGAGCATCAGGGAGGTACTGCTGCGCACTTTTTTCCGCATGGATGGCTATGGCCCTGCTAAGTGATTGAAGCTCCTTTCAAATATTTCTTCCCCTTCCTCTTATGTCCTACAACATGCAATGCTGCATCACCATGTGACCTCAAGACCCATCCCAATGGCAAGCAGAACTGATGAGCTTCCTCCTCCTTATGTTGTTCTATGTTAGCCGCCAAAAGCAAGAGGACTGTGGACTCAAGGCAGAGGAGAAACCTGCAATTTGTGAGCAAGGAAGGAGGCATAAAAACTGCAAGGGGGAAGTTCACACACACACACGCTGAACTGTTGAGCAAGAATGCAACAAGACAGCAGAAGCATGGGAAAGTTCCTAGAGGAGACGAGTGGCCATGTGACAAGCCCAAAAGCTGTTTAAACCGAAACCTGGATGCTACACAATACACAGCTGGGACCAAATCCTTGATTCAGGAAAGCATCTCTATTCAGGATAGTGTTTAAGTGTATGCTTCAACGTGTCTTAAGCACATGATTAAAGTCCTATTGTCTTCCAGAAGTTCAGCATGTGCTTCAGTGCTTTCCTGACCCAGCATCCAACTGAGTAGACCTTTCCCAGCATCAGACCATTTTCACTTGTGAATTCAGACTATTACCAGCATTTAACGATTGGTTGAGAAACACAGTCATGCCAATCTGTGCTCATTTACGATCAGATAGTACATCTTAACCACAATGTGCTGGCTAACTTTCCCAAGGCAGACAATTCCCACACCAAAATCCCCCTGACCAAAATCCCCTCGTGCAGTTTCAATCAGAGACTATTTCACTATTATTGATGTAATTTAAAAAAAAAAGACTTATCCAACTGTTGCTAATAAAAGCAGCAGGTGTTTTATTAGACGGCAAAAGGAGAGGAATGTGAAATTTTGGCTTAAACCCTTAATTATCTGCCAGACTTCCTCTTTAGTTACATTGTCAATTCATCCTGCTTCATAACAAGGTCAGAAGTGCCTTTGAGCTTTACTGCTGTTTGATTTCGACAGCATTGTCTTTAGAATTCTACATCGCCATAGCGAAGTCAAACCTACTCACAGTATGAAGCACTGCTAATTCCAACCCAGAGTGCGTCAGGCATTTGAAATCTGCCTCTTACCATGTTTTAACTATTTTATTTCAATAGTGCACCTCCTTCATTTTTGCACTTGATCACTAGTATCTGTTGTACAAGCAAGTGCTTTAAATGCCCCTTCACATCACTGGGACCCAACATCAAAGAAATGTATAAAAGAGGGTTTTCCCTTGCACACTGAAATTTTGATTGAATAAACTGTCAGAATCGTATGCACACTCCCCTAAACCTACAGGCCAAACTGGTGCTCACACAAAGGAAAGACTCAATCCTCATGCCTCCAGTGACAGGGAAGTCACTTGGGCAATGAGGTTTCAAATAAGGGGACTTGAGACAGGCTTTTTGATTTTTGAGGTTTGACTGCTTTCCCTAACGCTTTGCGATTAAGGAAGAAAATACAAAACTTAAACAGACTCACGTACACAAAGAATCCCAAGATCCCTTCTTCTTTAAAAATCCTGCCAATGGAGCTAAACACACCACTGTTGAGAGAGGAAAACAGTTATAACCAAGTGGAGTGCATAACCCCGCTCACGATCTCTGGGCAATAGCATCCTTGCAAAGGCCACTGATATCTTCCGGCACCAGAGAGAACCACCACCATTCCCTGGGAATAATTCTATTGCATGCACAGCTGGGACCACCACCTTCCTGGGATAATCCTGACTTGGGTGGGTGGGTGGGTGGGGGAGGTGTACAAAAGAAAGCCATCAATTCTGCAACTGTCCACCGGTTCACGTTCAATCCAGAGCTCTGTCCACACTGGGATCAGAACTGTGCTAATTACAACTGTGTTTAAACACTGTGGATCAGAGGGCTCTAGTCTACTGTCCATCACAAGCATGAAGACTTTTTTTCCCTCTGAAACCCATGTTGTAACTGTGCTATGGTATGTCTTTAGCATGCTCCTTCTAGCATGATTCTCAGGAGAGGAACTGCGGGAAGGCATGCTAGAAATCACTATTTAAACACAGATGTAGCGCCCAGTACTCAGAGCCCATTACATTTTTGGGATGAAAATGTAATATCGCCACCACCTAGCTCTTATATAGCACTTTTCAGCAGTAGATCTTAAAGTGTGTCACAATCTTTAATGTACACCTCTACCCCGATATAACAAGACCCGATATAACACGAATTCGGATATAACGCGGTAAAGCTGCGCTCCGGGGGGGGTGGGGAGGGCTGTGCACTCCGGCAGATCAAAGCAAGTTCGATATCATGCGGTTTCACCTATAATGCGATAAGATTTCTTGGCTCCCGAGGACAGCGTTATATCTGGGTAGAGGTGTATTTACCCTTACACACCCCTATGAGGCATGGCAGTGCTATTATCCCATTGTAAAACTGGGGAACCAAGGTACAGAGAGACTAAACTATTTGCCCAAGGTCACAACGGAAGCCTGTTGTGGAGCCAAGAATTGAACCAGGGTCTCCCAACTCCTAGGCTACTCCCCTAGCCACTAGACCATCCTAGATGGCTCTTGCAAAGTTACAATCGTCACAATGGAGCCAATACTCTACTATGGTCCTGCTGTGACAGGCTTGTGGAAAAGTGTCTCCAGACAAACAGCAGGAGCAGCATGTTATGAACTATACACCCTTCAGCCCAATTCACCTCCTTGCTGTTTTCAAAGTCTGGTCAGGACAGCAATCCAAGGAAAAATTCAAAGTAATTGGAGTGCACCTATGAGCAGACCTGCGTAATCAGGTAGACGTATTACAACAGTTGGCGAAAGCCAAAGACAGGATACTGGACTTAATAGACTCATCGAACAGAACAGAACCCAGCCTTCCCTACTGTGACGAAGTGGGGGGGTTTCTTGTTTTCTGTGGAGTTTCAATGGTTTGCATGCAGAGGGGGTGGGACTCAGTTTCCCTGGGTGTTACTGGTTTAACGAGGTGAGGGGAGAGGGAGTGTGTTTTGCAGAGGACTGGAGAGAGGACGTGGGGACCCAGCCAATGGCCGGGAGGATGGATACCCCGGTGACCTGGCGACCCAGAGGCCCAGCTGAGGAGACCGCAGCCGGTTCTGGCCAGTGGGAGGACAATGGGCTGCAGAGTGAGGAGCCAGTGACCTAACCAGCCGGTTCCAGCCAGAGGAGAGAAGCAGGAGCGGAGGCCCCAGTTTACGACCCTGTTTACCTGGAGAGAAGACAACGGACAGAGGCTGGGCCTGGGATCTCAGATGTCCAGCTGCGAGCAGGGGGGCTCGGGGCTGGAGAGGGGAAGCAGGCAGAGCCCACCTGGTTGCAGAGAGACTGGGATGTGCTGTGCTGAGGGAGGCCAGGCCTGAGGGTCAGAGAGCTTCCTGTGCTGTGTTCAACTCTCAATAAACCCTCCTGTTTCATGCTGGCTGAGAGTCACTCCGGTCTAGAGAACAGGGTTGCATCAACCCCTTCGGGGGTGGAGGCCCCTGGGGTCCAGAGTGAGTGGACTCCCTGAGGGGGCCCACGGCAGAGACAGACGTGCTAAGGCTCAGAGAGGTGCGGATCCAGGAGGTGGAGGGGGCTGACCCCGAGAGAGAGTGGACCCCCGAGAAGGGCTGTCTCACTAAAAGGGGCACCCCCCACGGACCGCACGGGGCCAAGAGTGGGCACGATCTGTGAGTCTGTGACACCTACTCTCTGCACAACACTGCTTGCCACAAGGCCAGTCATCCCCTAGACAAAACACAGATTTCAGTTATATTCCTGGCTGTGCAATCATGGTATGACCTCTTGCATTATTATTTCAGCTCCTACATCCTGACTCCAAGTCCTGTGCTTTAAACATCCAACACAAATGCCAGAGCTGCTTACCTGTATTTGACTTCCCGACCTACAAACTGGACCATGCAGCGCATCGAGATTACTGTAAGGAAAGAAACAAGGCAGTAAATTAAGCTCAACGACTTTTTAAATGTATAGGCATCTGGTCTGGGAGGTGGAAATGACACCATCAGCCACAGCGTCCCATCATCATCCTGAGAATAGTGAACAACTAGTCCTCCCCAACCACCCACTAATAGCAGTGATGGATTCCATGTCATTGTCCAATAGCAGGAGAACTCATAAGAACTGGATCACCCTTATCCAATTGTTTGTTGACCCCCCTCAAAGAACTCTAATAGATTGATTTCCCTCTACAAAACCCATGTTGACTCTTCCCCCAAAAATCTTGTTCATCTATGCATCTGATAATTCTGTTTTTTACTACAGTTTCAACCAATTTGCCTAAACTTGAAATTGGGCTTACTGGCCTGTAACTGCCTTTTTTAAAAATTGGCATTACATTAGCATCCTCTAGTCATCTGGTACAGAGGCTGATTTAAGCAATAGGTTACATACCACAATTAGTAGTTCTGCAATTTCATATCTGAGTTTCTTTAGAACTCTTGGGTCAAAACTATCTGGTCCTGGTGACTATTAATTACTGTTTAATTTATTCCAAAAACTCATCTACTGATATCTCCATCTGGGACAGTTCCTCAGATTTGTCACCTACAAAGAATGGCTCGGGTGTGGGAATCTCCCTCACATCCTCTTCAGCGAAGACCAATGCAAAGAATTCACTTAGCTTCTCTGCATCGGCCTCATCTTTTGTGAGTGCTCATTTAGCACCTTGATCATCCAAGTGCCTTGCAGGCTTCCTGCTTTTGATGTACTTAAAACAAAATTTTGTTGTTAGTTTTTGTGTCTTTTGCTAGTTGTTCTTCAAATTCTTTTTTGGCCTGCCTAAATTATACTTTTATATTTGTAAAACTCCTAGTATAAGCTACCAAATGAGCTGTAAGAGACAGCCTCATCTCCAAGCTCTGAATATCCCATCACTAGGATGCTGAGTATTATCCTTTCCTAGTGTCAGTTTGTAGCTCATGCTCTTCTAATGGATTCAGATGCTAGGAATCACAATGGGCTTAAATTGCAGCAAGGGAGGTTTAGGTTGGACATTAGGAAAAACTTCCTGTCAGGGTGGTTAAGCACTGGAATAAATTGCCTAGGGAGGTTGTGGAATCTCCATCACTGGAAATTTATAAGAGCAGGTTAGACAAACACCTGTCAGGGGTGGTCTAGATACTACTTCGTCCTGCCATGAGAGCAGGGGATTGGACTAGAAGATCTCTCGAGGTCCATTCCAGTCCTGCGAAGCTGAATAATTTTTTTTTAATCAGAAACAAGCACAATGAATTCAGTGACGAGAACTGGCTATCCAGCATATCTCAGGGCAGGCAAGGGGACTAAGCTTTTAAATCAAGAGCAGGCAACAGGTCGGAAGAACAGGACTCACCATGCAGGGGATGTGAGATAACCCGGGACATACACTGCATCAGCATCTCATGAGAGGTCTGGAAAAAAACATACCACATTAAAAGCTGCAAAGAAGCTAACCGTGTTACAAGGAACAGGCCTATTCACTGCAACTGACTCTACAATCATCACCTAGCTATAAGAGATCAGCTACCGCCACGAGAAAATGTTTTCAGAGGGCTAAATTAACTGATTTGTTTCTCACACACGACTCCTATGCCAATTTTAATATTGCTGAATTACATAATATGTTCTGAAGCCAGAGGAGTGGGCCCAAAAGAGGTTTATAGAGAACATAAACATCACAGCATGTCCCTACCACAAGGGTGTTAGTACAGTGACCCAAAACATTCAAAGCCTGGTCATCTCCTAGGCTGTGTCTAGGTCACTGTCATTCCTGATCTACTTTTCCATCTGTCGTCTCTTTCACTCCTTGGTTCCTGAATGCGGAGGGCCTGGATAGTGAGTGAAAAACTGGCACTCACATCTTTTCTCTTTCCTCTTATTAAGCTGCTCATGGTAAACTTCTCAACAATATTTGTATGAAACATTTGATAGCCAGGTCCTAGGGTGCACTCCTGTTTAGTGTCAATACCTTGGTACTCAATATATATTTTTTCCGAGCAATTTCACCCACAGCAGCCGTGTATGCTTTGCCCCAGTGTTTTCAGCCTCTAGGGTATTTGTCTCCACTGTGAGCTCTCTAGATTATTCATTAACATGCAATATTCATACACTGAGATTGCTCTCAGAGCCTGCATTTGATAAAGGTTTAATGAGGAAAAAATGCTCCTAACCTCTTTCAACACTTTTCGGAGAGAAGTCTTCACATCATCCTTGTTAGAAACATGCTCCATGTCCTCCACAGGAAAGACCTGGGGTGGGAGGATTAAAAATAAATGAAATTCACAGCAGCTGAAGACAGATGTGAACAATCACTGGTCTGTGCTCGGGGCTGACAGTGAAACCAACAACGTCTCAGTCAAATTTAGAAGAACTTCCCCTAACGATAAGACTAACAGGCCTGATACGGAACTTTAAGGTTACTGGGGTCAGCCTTTCATACACCACTGATCCTTAACTGCAGACAAGCTCCTACTAGCTAAAATTTGAGCATGCAGACATTTTTAAAGCAACTTGTTCATAACTTAATAAGCTGTTCTCAAAATATGGTCCAGGAGAATCACCAACACATATGGCTTTATGGACCATTTGCAGTGGTCCATAAAGCCACATGGCCAGAGAACACTGGAGGGATAATCAGGAGGATGGAAAGAAGAGGGAGCAGAGGCGGTGCACAAAACTTTCTTCTCACAAAATCATCCACACAATAAACAGCTGAAGAATCACCAATTTAATGATGGGCACGTCCAGAGAGAATTCACTGGAGGCTGAAGCTGTTTCCACCTTGCTTCCGAGCAATTTTTAGAGCTGACTAGAACTCACTGGTTCTCAGCAAAGCACACACACAAAGAGGTGAATTTAATGCTCCACATACAGATGTGGCCATAACCACATGTACATGCTACTTAATTCTGTTCCAACAACACTGTGAAATCATGTAGTGTTAGATCCAGTAGGCCCCTTATGAAAAAACAAACTTGCCCTTTTACCTTCTTCACAGTCCCTCGGGTGACAGTGGATAAAGTGCTAGAGAGGATTCGAGGAGCAAGGCCGCGAAAGAGGCCCATTTTCCCATCCACTTCCACAATGTGTCTAGCTAGGTAAGAAAACATTATACTGGTGTCATTTCACGAATCAGCCTGTTAGCAGGGAATCAAACACAACAGTTTGCAGAGTCTCCAATTTCCAATCTAAACAGCACTAAGACTCAAGCACGTTATGGCATCTGCTTGAAATGATGTAGTATAGCACCTCAAGTGATTTATCATAAAGACCCACAGAAGCTTCAGATGGGATGTGAAAGAGCTCTGGGCTGCTTCTTGTTGCCAAAGAAACTTTAGTATTCCCCCACACACACACCTTCTTTAGAGATGGAGCATTATCTCTGATGTCTTGGACTAATAAACCTCTTGATTATGTTCTGCCTAACTAAAAGAGTCAAGGCATTTTAATTGGATTAGGACAGGGAGAGAAGAATCCCTTATCTGTTGCATAGGGTTTCTTCCTCCTTCCAGCCCAGAGGGCTTAGTTTGAGAGGACGAATGGCTAGGGTGCTAGCATGGAAGAGAGGAGACCCAGGTTCAATTCCATGCTCTGCAACAGACTTCCTACGTGACCTTGGGCACATCATTTAGTCTGTGCCTCAGTTTCCCAGCTGTAAGATGAGGATAATAGTACTTCCCTCTCACAAGTGTGTTGTGAGGATAAATACATTCAAACCTGTGAAGCACTCAGATAATGGGGGCCAAATAAGTACCTAAAATAGATTTCAGGAATGATAATTTATTCAGTTCTTTAAAACTTCAGTCATTACACAGAACAGCTGACTGCTAGGAAGAGAAGAAAAACAAGTGCATTGAATTTATCCCTGGTGTAACAGCATTGATTTCAGTGGAATTACAGCTAAGGTGAATTAGACCCAATATCTGCTGAGCACTGAAACAGATTATTCCTGCCCACCCACTCTTTGCTTTCTACAAGGCTGTTTGTTCCTTAGTGGCACATGGCATGGATTCCTTAAATCACAAGACCCCCCCACCCCCCACCTCCCATCACTTCAAACATATTATGAAAATAGACCATCTGACAACAAGGGGAGACACTGTAGAACTCCCAATGCCTAACATCTCCAGAGCCATAAGAACGGGTTTTCAATTTACTGACTTGGATTGCTACTGCATTTTGTATTCCTTCCCTCATCAGTCAACAGATATTTCAAGCCAGGTTTCAGGAGCCTATCCATTTCTGCCTTCTCATTTTAAAAGAGCTTTACAGAGACTCTCGTCACTCCCTGCCCTTCAAGTATTATGACCATTTCAAAAAAAAAAAAAAAAAAAAAAGAGGCAAAGCAATGTGCCCAAGGCCAGAGAAATTCACTGTCAGCACCAGGAGCAGGATTCATGAGTGTATGACTCCCACATCTCTCTCATGCGGATACACTTCTAAAGAGAAATTAAAATGTATTTTTCTTCCAAATATCTTCCCCTCCCCTGCTTCTTTACTCCTTTTTTGCGTATTTCTGTCCTTTTAAAGCCCCATCTACACTACAAACAAGCGCGTCAGAGGATCAAGTTACAACATGTCCATATTTTGTAGTGTAAAGAGGAGCTTAACTGTCCCTTAAACCAGGCTAAATAAATCCTTTATCGCAAACTATAAGCCACATTTACATTCACCACCTACACTACAAACCAGTGTGATAACTGGGCCAGGGAATAGCAGAGTTAGGTGACATGGTTAAATATGTAGAGTAGACCTTAATGTAAAGCCACCCCCATAATAATCTCAACCCCACCTCGTTAGTAAAATTACAAACATCTGACAGCTTAGTAAACTGCAATGGTGTGCTTAAGATTTAGCTTTTCCCAACAACTATTTTTTTCTTCCTTGCAACAATTGTTACATAGATCTAGCCAAAAGCTTTGACTAAAATATTGAGACAGCAATCAGCCAGAACATTTCAGGTCCCATCTCTGCTTGCAGTTGAACTCAATAGTATCATTAGCAAGAAAAATAAACTGTGTGAGTGTTTCCAAAGCGTGAGAGACAGAAACCTGGAGTATGCATCAGAGACAAGACAGAACTGTATCAGGACATTACTGTATTGTAACTGGGACTGAGAATGAGGGCACTTTAGCTGATTTAAATAGGTCCTAAATGGGCAGTTCTCACACCTTCCCCTTCAGAATATGGTCTCAAGCTATTACTAAGATATACTCACCATATGTGAAAAAGCCAGGTAGGTACAATACTTTTTTCCCCAGCACATTTCTCCCAATGGTTGGAGGTAGAGGTTCATGCCCGACCTTCAAAAGAAACACCAATCAGCTACTATCCGCTTCTTACAAGGACTCCCCCCAAAGCCATTGGATCACAAGAATGTGAACATCTGTATTATATGTTATAGCAGAGCTGTATTCTTCCACGTCTCCAATCTATACCAAACCTTTTCTCAAAGAACCCCATTAATATAGGCACCCCGGCAAGCCAAAACACCAGTATTAGTGTTACAAACATTCCTAAATAAGCAGTATTTCTGATATATAGCCCAGGCACTAGACTCCACCCTTATTCAGTACAACCCAATGGGAAAGACCCACTCTTTTCCTTATGTTTCACAGACTGCCCAACTCTTCTATTACCCCTTCCACATAGCACATAACAATGCTTTCACCCTTACTTAGCTCAAACACATGCCATGGTCCCTCCCAGACATACCAGTGTCCCACAAACATACATGTAGAAACCCAAGCATGCAGCAGGCTCTGAAACGTTTGCATGTTCCAGCCATCTCATATTTGTACATGGCATGTACCAAATTCTGGAGTCACTCTGAACTCTATTCCATTCTATGCATCCGATGAAATGGACTGTAACCCATGAAAGCTTATGCTCAAATACATTTGTTAGTCTCCAAGGTCCACAAGTACTCCTGTTCTTTTTTCTAAACTCTAAGACTATTCCCCCCATACCTTCCAGTTCTCCAAGACTCCCATAGGGCCCTGCACAGCCCCAGTGCAAGCACTATCAACTCTCACTCGTCGCACACACCCCAGAACAGCCCTACACCCCTGATCTCACATAATCATGTAGTCCCCAAAGTGCCTGTTTCTCCTTCGGTCGCCCAAACCCCTAGAAATCCCCATGACAGACAGACCATGCTCCTGAATTCTCCACATACCCCCAGCACTCCTACAAAATGCCCCAGGCCCACCCCTGTGCACAAAGATCTCCTGCAATGCCCTGGATCCCCTGCACCACTAGCCCCAGAGCTGCCCACCTCTCCCAGCCCAAGGTCACTCACGTCCGTCATACGCACCTACCAGCAGCCCCCGCCCCAGAATCCCCTCAGCCCCCCGCCATCAACACGCCTAGCTCCCCCGGGCCCTGGATACACAGGGAGTGTCTCAGGGACACTACCAGTGCTGCCACCCGCCCCCGGGCCTCCCCTGCCCGGGCTCCCCCCGGGCCCATCTCGGGGCGCCCCGGACCTGGATCAGCAGCTTGACGTAGAGCAGCGGATGGCTCAGCGCCGTGAAGCCGGCCCCCAGCACCACGAAGAGGGACTCGGATCCTTCCGCCGGCTCCGGCCTGCCTCCCGCCCCAAGGCCGGCGGGGGGGGCCCGGAGGCCCCCAGGCAGAGCGGCGGCGGCGGCAGCTGCCATCCCCACGGCAACAACGGCGGGGAGGCCAGCTGAGGCCACCGGCGCGCACTTCCGGGTCAGGGGGCCGGGGCACGTAGGCAAAGGCGGGGGCAGCAGCATAACGTCGTGACGTCGCGCGCCGAAGAGGGCATGGCCTAGGGCCCCTGCGCAGGGAGTCTGCTGCCCCCTTGGGGTTTTCGCGCGCGGGGATCGCAGCTCTCTGACTTCGCCCTGGTCGCTGCACGAGCCCGCGGCTGCCTCCAGCTGGGGCGGCCGGGCCCAGGGCAGAGCCGGTTGCTTGAGTAAATAAATGCAACACGCAAACTAAGCGTTACACACTAGATAGGCAGGATCTACATAAGCAAATTCTCACCCTGAGTGGGCAGATTGTTAAGGGCACACGCGGCCTTGGCTTTGCAGCTTGGATTTCCCAGGTTTTCTTACACAGGCTAGGAATCTCTCTCCAGCCTGGCACCATCACTTCTCATAGTTCAATCTTTGTCCCTCAGGTGTTTCCAGGTGAGAGTGAGCCCCCCCCCCCCATGTCATTGTCCCCCTTTTATCTCCTCTTCCCACTTGCTGGAAAACTCTTGCTGTGACCTGGGTCCAACAGTTAATAAAAATAAATAAATTAATGGAGCTATCCTATCTCCTAGAACTGGAAGGGACCTTGAAAGGTCATTGAGTCTAGCCCCCTGCCTTCACTAGCAGGACCAAGTACTGATTTTGCCCTAGATCCCTAAGTGCCCCCCCCAAGAACTGAACTCACAACCCTGGGTTTAAGCAGGCCAATGCTCAAACCATTGTGCTAGCTGTCCCGCCCCTGCTTCTATTGGGTAGTGTTATCTTGGAGAGATTTCTATTGCATATAGTTCCTGGGGTAACCCCGGTGCTTGTGTGCATTTCCTCAATAAGCCATTGAGGAATTTAATTTTAATTGTTGTACCTGAAAAGGCTGTTTTGAACCTCACGTGTTTCAGTAACATACATAGCTGAACTCATAACTTCACATACAACAATAGCACATACAATCCAACAAGACATTAATGTCTAGCAGATAAAGACGTTTAGAATGATACCTTACAAGACATACAGTACTTTGTACAAAACATATCCTAATGACATGACAGTGGCGAATATTGGGGTGTCAGGGTGTCCCACCCAGCTGTTCCTCCCACTCTATCAAGCCCCCAGTAAGACTGTCTGGCTGCTTAGCCCCCGTGTTGCAGTTCCTCTTTGGACACCTACCCCGTGAGAGCTGCTCCCTCTCTGGTCCGGTTTCATACAGAGCTGCCCTCCCCTCCCCAGATAGTCACTCCTGTTACCAGATGAATGGCCTTCTGCCATTCGGCATATCAAAACCTGAGCAGCACTGGGGGGAAGCTTTCTGACATCTCTCCCACTAGCAGCTCCTTTCCACTCTAACCTTCCTGTTTGTGTCTAATCTCTGTGGGGTGTAGGACGAGGCCCAGAAACTGAAGTTTTTGGATTGCATCAGCACCCTCAGCAGAGCCATCTGGCCAGGAGTCCAGAGAGAAACCTCAATGCTAACAAAGCCCTCCTTGTGGAGAAGATAAAGGTGAGTAAAACACACACTGGGGCTGTGTTACTTGGCAGGTTTAGTGATTGGCCTGGAGATCTCTGCAGATTGTCTTAACTTCAACTGCTAACCATTGGATCGTGTTAGACGTTTGTCTGTTAGACTGAAGAGCCCATTATCAAGTATTTGCTCCCCGCAAATGAGACAGGGATGGATTGGCAGCAGCGGGGTTCTGCCGGCTTACGCCAGGCCGGGATCCTTGGGGAGGCCACGTGGGGACATGATGGCTCATTGCTGAGATACAGGTTGCTGTTTCGAACCTCGCCCATCTCAGCTAGGACTGGAAATCTCCACCTCCTCCAGTGGTTTAGCGGCCGACGTGTGGGTGCAGCTCAGCGCCTGACTGGCAGGGGGCCAAAGACAAAATAGCCTCCTGGGCGTTCATTTCAGCAGAGGCCACAGAGGGCAGGAGGAGGCCGGTTCCACCTTCGCATGAGGCACATTGGCCGGGGGTGCGGAGGGAAGGCCTGGGCTGGGCACCAGGAATTCCGGTCTCCACAGCTGGCGAGCGGCCCATCACTAAGGCTACAGGCCACGAGTCCTAGGGGGCTCATGGCATTTCTCAGACCCTGGGTGGCATTTGCAGATGTGCTCAGCATTGGCCTCCTTCTGCTCCCGCTGAGGTCAACAGAACGGCTCCCTCCCGCCCGTCATGGGAGCAGAGTTAGGCCGACGCTGGGCGCTCTGGACAACCCCACCCAGTGCGTCCCCTCCTCCCCAGGCCTTTGGTGGACATCGAGCCCCTGTAGCTGGCACATACAGGCTATGCATGGGGGTGGGGAGGGTTGGCACAAGCAGCGGGCCCAGGGCTCAAAGGCCTATTGTGCTGCTGCCCATGAGTGGGAAGGGGGAGGGTTCCCGGGTACCTTGACGTAGTGATCCTAGGAACCGGTGACGACCAGGTCATGGTTGATCATGGTCTGGTTCACAGTCAGACACATCACAGGCCTGATGTGGCCGGTCAGCTTCCCAATAAGCTGCAACCTACAAGCAGGAGCTGGGGCCGTTGGAGTCTGGGGCGTGCTCAGCAGGAGGCGCTTGTTCCTGCAGGCCCTTCACTGGCCCAGTCTCCAAAGCTCCCAGCAGGGACCCTTCCAGCCCTAGGCCCCTCTCCATCACCCCCTCGAATTGGGACCTCCGACTCTGGGGCACTAAGCACGGAACGCCCTGGGGATACCCTGTCCCTGGGCACCATCGGCTGCGATCCTGGCCTTGAGCTAGGGGCGGAGAGCTGGGTTCAGGAGCAGTGTCGGAGGGGCTCAGTGCACCAGCCAGTCACCCCAAGAGCTGCAGCGCTGGGTCCTGCTTTCACCCATCCTTGGGCCTGATCGTCTACCCCGGGGATCTGCCCCAGCAGCTGCTGTAGTGCGAAGCCCTAGAGCAGACAGACTAAGCTGCTCGGGGTTTGTGCCAGGGCAGCTGCCCCTGGTGCCAGTCCTGGCTGTGGCCCTTCACCCTGTCTATGCTAGGGGCCACCCTCCTGCTCCCCCTCCACCGGGATTCTGGCTCTGGGGTCCCTTTGAAGAGCCTTGGCGCTGAGGCCAATAGTCCCAGGCCAAATCCATCCCTGCCTCAATAACACAGCTTCCAGCCAGGAGGGAGCAGGCCCCAGCCCAGCCCAGAATGGCTGCTCCCTCTGCCTACGCAGCACCCATCTCCCTCCCCACAAGAGCTGCCCTCGCCTGGGAGCCCGAGCTAGCCCCGCCTGGACCTGTTGAGCTCCCAGATGCGGACGGAGTTCCCGGCGGCGGCGTAGAGCATGGTGCCGGTGGGGTTGAGCGCAGTCTGGTTGATCTGGGGCTTGCCCTGCACGCTGGCGATGGTGCGGGTGGTGGTCTTGGCATAGGTGTCCCCAGAGATCACCTGACCCGAAGAGCTAAGCCAAAGAGACAGAAACAGGTGAGCCTCAAGACAGAGACCCTCGGGGAAGGGGGGGTGGGTTAATTTACATTGTGTGGAATGGAAGATCTAGTCCATTGTGGACTGATTAGAAGGCTGGAGAGCGTCTGTCCCCAGTCATCTAGATAGAGGGTGAAGCAACACCACTTCTTGGCCACATGCAGTGCCAGTGGTGCCAGGATGAGACCTCCTCTCAGCCCCATGTTCCCTCAAGCCAGGAGCAATGGCACAGCAAGGGTGACCCAGGCAGCAGCTTTTGGGGCGTCCCCAAGGGAGGTGCCTTGTCGAGCAGCCAGCCAGACCCATACCAGCCAGCATGCCAGCTCCACGCCCGGGGCGGAGCGACACAAACCCCACCCCTGGCCTGGAGTTGATGTTGACAGGCAGCCCAGGCACATTCCCGCCAGTCAGATTTTAGATCTGGGGAGGGACTGCCGGCAAAGAGACATCTCAGTCTATGGCTGGGCACCAGAGAGAGGGGCTGATTTGCTGGAGTCTGGAAACGGTGCTGGCAGCTGCAGATGGGTCATTACCCATCCCTGATCAAAGCAATCGTAGGGTGCACGGTGCCCCCTGAAACAGACGAGAGAAGCAACTGCCTTGGCAGAGCACCAAGCCACGAAGCCTCCGCGAGCCAGGCCAGGCTAGAGCGACCAGCATTGCAGCATTCCTAATCTCAGCCCTGCAGACTGGCCCGGCCGCCTGGTCTTTGCAATGCTGCCCTGGGTGCAGGACACTGGCAGGGCAGCGCGTCGAGTTTGGCCAGGCCCACAGGGCAGCCTCAGGGCGCCAGGTACCTATGGGAGGGTGTGGACGCACTTGGCCGAGTCCCGGATGTCCCACACCTTGATGAAGGAGGTGGAGACGGTGAACACCATCCCCGAGTGGCTGCAGTACTTGATGAATATCACATTATTGGGGTGGCCCTTCAGTGAGGCGATTTCCTGGCCCGTCACCAGGTTCCACATTTTGCAGCTCCGATCTGCGGGAGGAGGCGGGAGCATGTGACGCTGCAGGGCCCTTCCCGTCCTCAGCAGAGGAACCCCACGGCTCTTCCCCCCCCCCCCCCGCCACTGCCTCCCCCTGCTCCCACGAGTGCCCCAGGGGCGAGAGGGGAGCTCAGTCCCCATGGCTTATCCAGCCCCTGGCACCTCCGCCGGACCTGCCGATGGGGGGAGGGGCTATTAGTACAAGGTGAACATCCGGCCACTAGGGACCGGGCAGAGGCCCCAACAACTCGCTTCATGGATGTCACCACACAACTGTTCAGCCTAAGGACTCGTGCAGCATTGCTGCCCTCTGCTGGGGGGACCCAGAACTGCACCAGCCCATTGTGGCATTTGGGGCTCTCGGGCAGGCTGGTGCTGTCCGAGCAGGAGGCTCCTGTCCTGTCCCCACAGTTCAGGGTGGCTCAGCCCCTCCCCTGGGTAACAGGCTCACTCCCCAGTGATCACACCCTGAGCTCAGCAGCCGGCTCGCCCACGAGGCGCAGACCTTTGGATCCGGAGAAGAGCAGCTCATCAGTGGCGTCCATGCAGAGAACGGGCTTGGAGTGTCCTTCTGCCACGGAGATACACTGCAGCGGGGCTGTCCGGGCACTCCTGGCACCGCCCACGGGGTTAATGAGGCCCCTTCCGTGGGAGAGAGAGAGCAAGGGCATCAGCAGGGGGGCGCTGGCTGGGTGACCCAGGACGAAGCCAGATCCCGCCCCGCGAGGCTGCCAGGGCCTGCTAGTGGGGCTCCAGAGCAAAGCAAACCACAGACAGAGGCTGTGGGGCAGCCTGCTCCCCAGACAGGCCCCCCGGGGGCAGGTCACACCCCGTTGGTGCTAAGGGCTCAGGGACTCGTGCAGACCCTGCCTTGGCTTGGGGCAGGGGCTTGGAAAGGAAACGGGCTTCTCCCCCTGGCCATCTCACTGCTGGCACAGATGAGCCACCCCCTCACCCCTCCGTCAGAGCTGTGGGTGGCCCCTGTGCCCCATCCAGGCAAGATCCCAAAGCAAACAGAGTCCAGGCTGCTGCATGGCACACACTGCCCCATCCCCTGTGGAGTCAGAGACTAGCAGGGACAGGCTGGCTCCGGACCCAACCCCAGAACCTCCGGGCTTGAACAAACTGGGGCCCTGCTCCAGCCGTGCTGTGTGGGGCATAAGGGCACCACCCCGTGGCCAGCGGGAGGAAGCGCCCTCTCTCCATCTGACCCACTCCGGTTTCCCAATGAGCTACACCCCGGTTTGGCAGATGGGGAAGGGATTGGCAGATGGAAGGGTTCCTGGCCAATGGGAGCTGCGGAGCTGGCCCTCGGGGTGAGAGCAGCACATGGCGCCTCCCTGGCTGCCCATGCGTCTAGGGGCTGCAGGGACCTGGTGGCCGGTTCCGGGAGCCGCGCCGAGCTAGGGTATGCAGGGAGCCTGCCTTAGCCCCAGGCCCCCACAGCGCTGCCAACCAGACTTTTAACGGCCCGGTCGGCTGTACTGACCAGAGCTGCCAGGGTCCCTTTTCAACTGGGCGTTCTGGTCCAAAACCAGATGCCTGGCAACTCTATTGTCCTCCCATATCATGTCCCCACCGGTGTATTATTGTAGGTCCTCCCAGAACCTTTACCCACTGCCTTGTTATTGTAGTACCCTCCCATACCATGCCCCCACCCGTGTGTTATTGTAGGTCCTTCCATAACCTTTACCCTTGTTATTTACTTTACTGCCTTGTTATTGGGAGGAGATGTTGCCTTATATATCAAAGATGTATATATCTGGACTGAGGTTGAGATGGCAATAGAAGACAGACTTGTGGAAAGTCTCTGCGTAAGGATAAAAAGGGTAAAAAACAAGGGTGATGTCATGGTAGGGGTCTACTACAGACCATCTATCCAGGAAGAAGAGGTGGATGAGGCTTTTTTAAATAACTAACAAAATCATCCAAAGCACAGGACTTGGTGGTGATGGGGGCCTGCAACTACCCAGACATCTGTTGGGAAAATAACACAGCAAGGCACAGATTATCCAACAAGTTCTTGGGATGTATTGGAGAAATTTTTTTATTTCTGAAGGTAGAGAAAGCTACTAGGGGAAGAGGCTCTTCTAGATTTGATTTTGACAAATAGGGAAGAACTGGCTGAGTATCTGAAAGTGGAAAACAGCTTGCATGAGAGTGATCATGAAATGAGAAAGTTCTTGATTCTAACAAATGGTAGGAGGGAAAATAGCACAATAAAGATAATGGATTTCAAGAAGGCCGACTTCAGCAAACTCAGGGAGTTTGTAGGTGAAATCCCATGGGAGGCAAGTCTAAAGGGAAAAACAGTTCAAGAGTGTTGGCAATTTTTCAAAGAGATATTATTAAGGGCACAAGAGCAGAAAATGTGAAAATGGCAGAAGTGCTAAATGACTTCTTTGTTTCAGTTTTCACCAAAAAGTTTAGTAGCGACTGGACGTCTAACATAGTGAATGCCAGTGAAAATGAGGTCAGATCGGAGGCTAAAATAGGGAAAGAACAAGTTAAAAATTACTTAGACAAGTGATATGTCTTCAAGTCATCAGGGCCTGATGAAATACATCCTAGAATACTCAAGGAGCTGACTGAGGAGATATCTGAGCCAAAAACTCATGGAAGACGGGAGAGATTCTAGAAGAATGGAAAATGGCAAATATAGTGCCCATCTATAAAAAGGGGAATAAGGACAACCCGGGGAATTACAGACCAGTCAACTTAACTTCAGTACCTGGAAAGATAATGGAGCAAATAACCAAGCAAGCAATTTGCAAACACTTAGAAGATAATAAGGTGATAAATAACAGTCAGCATGGATTTGTCAAAAACAAATCATGTCAAACCAACCTAATAGCTTTCTTTGACAGGGTAACAAGCCTTGTAGATGGGGGGAAGCAGTAGATGTGGTCTGTCTTGACTTTAGTAAGGCTTTTGATACTGTCTCACATGACCACCTCATAAACAAACTAGGGAAATACAACCTAGATGGAGGTACTATAAGGTGGGTGCATAACTGGTTGGAAAACTGTTCCCAGAGAGTAGTTATCAGTGATTCACAGTCATGCTGGACGGGCATAATGAATGGGGTCCCATAGGGATCAGTTCTGTTCAAAATCTTCATCAGTGATTTGGGTAATGGCATAGAGAGTACACGTATAAAGTTGCGGACGATACCAAACTGGGAGGGGTTGCAAGTGCTTTGGAGGATAGGATTAAAACTCAAAATGATCTAGACAAACTGGAGAAATGGTCTGAAGAAAATAAGATGAAATTCAGTAAGGACAAATGCAAAGTATTCCACTTAGGAAGGAACAATCAGTTGCACACATACAAAATGGGAAATGACTGCCTAGGGAGGAGTACTGCGGAAAAGGATCTAAGGATCATAGTGGATCTGAAGCTAAATGTGAGTCAACAGTGTGACACTGTTGCAAAAAAAAGCGAACATAATTCTGGGATGTATTAGCAGGAGTGTTGTAAGCAAGACACAAGAAGTAATTCTTCCGCTCTACTCTGCACTGATAAGGCCTCAACTGGAGTATTGAGTCCAGTTTTGAGTGCCACATTTTAGGAAAGATGTAGACAAATTGGAGAAAGTCCAGAGGTGAGCAACAAAAATGATTAAAAGTCTAGAACAGTGGCTCTCAACCTTTCCAGACTACTGTACCCCTTTCAGGAGTCTGATTTTGTCTTGCGTACGCCCAAGTTTCATCTCACTTAAAAACTACTTGCTTACAAAATCACACACAAAAATACAAAAATGTCACAGCACGCTATTACTGAAAAATTGCTGACTTTCTCATTTTTACCATATAATTATAAACTAAATCAATTGGAATATAAATATTGTGCTTACATTTCAGTGTATAGTATATAGAGCAGCACAAACAAGTCATTGTCTGAATGAAATTTTAGTCTGTACTGACTTTGCAAGTGCTTTTTATGTAGCCTGTTGTAAAACTAGGCAACTATCTAGATGAGTTGATGTCCCCCCGGAAGACCTCTGTGTACCCCCAGCGGTACATGTACCCCTGGTTGTGAACCACTGGTCTAGAAAACATGATCTGTGAGGAAAGTTTGAAAAAACTGGATTTGTTTAGTCTGGAGAAGAGAAAACTCAGGGGGGACATGATAGTTTTCAGGTACATAAAAGGTTGTTACAAGGAGGAGGGAGAAATTTGTTCTTGTTAACCTCTGAGGATAGGACACGAAGCAGTGACCTTAAATTGCACCAGGGGAGATTTAGGTTGGACACTGGGAAAAACTTTCTAACTGTCAGGATAGTTGAGTACTGGAATAAATTGCCTAGGGCAGTAGTTCTCAAACTTTTGTGCTGGTGACCCCTTTCACATAGCAAGCCTCTGAGTGCAACCCCCCCTTATAAATTAAAAACACTTTTTATATATTTAACACCATTATAAATGCTGGAGGCAAAGCGGGGTTTAGGGTGGAGGCTGACAGCTCGTGACCCCCTGAGGGGTCCCGACCCCCAGTTTGAGAACCCCTGGCCTAGGGAGGTTGTGGAATCTCTGTCATTTGAGGTTTTTAAGAGTAGGTTAGACAAACACCTGTCAGGATGGTCTAGGTAATACTTAGTCCTGCCATGAATGCAGAGGACTGGACTAGAAGACCTCTCGATGTCCTTTCCAATCCTAGACTTCTATGATTCTATGATTATATATCCTCCCCCATAACATGTGACTGCAGGGTGCACCGGCATGTTATGGCAGCACACACATTACAAACTATACATACACCGGTATGTTATAGGAGAGTCTCCTGTAGCATGCAGACCCCTGGCATATTATTGCTGGGTTTCTCATAACACATACTCATGCTTCTCTCTTAATGTGCACGCAGTGGGATATTATAGGGTCTCTCTATAGCCATGCACACAGTACTAAGTAGTCATTGTAGGGCATTTGATAACATGTACATTCAAGTGTTTTATGATAGGGTCTCCCAGAGCATTCACACAGTAGCTTGTTACTGTAGGATCTTCCACTGCCGTGCACACACTGGCATATATCATTGGGTCTCTGATAACCTGCACATACTAGCATGTTTTTTAGGGCCTTACACACCAGGGGCAAACTGGTTTATTACTGTATGTTCCCTTACAGATTTGCACACACTGGCTTGGCACTGCTTCATTAAGGTCACCCATCCAGCTGGTTTAATTTAGACGTACATTGAAGTCATGTCTGCGCTGGATCTATTTCAGTGCACAGTAGTTTTCACAGTTTCTCCCTGCTGCAGCCTGCATTACTTCCTCTTTACTTTTCCTTTTGAGGCCAACCCATATAATATTTGCAAGACGCTCTCACTCCCCGGACAACAAGAACTGCAGGTTGTCTTCACTTCTCACAAATCTCCCCAGCCAAGTACATTTGCATATCCCGGAAACATCTAAAGACAGAAAGAGAGAGGGGGGCTCAGAAGACGTATCTGGGAGCTGTCTTGGTCTCTCTGCAGCTCTTTCTTACCTGGTTTACAGGGACCAATTCTGAGTCACAAGAGCCAGCCTCATGGAGGGGGAACGAGGCAATCGAATGACTGTGTTTAATCTCGTGGCTGTGTTTGAGGATCCCAGGTAAGGAGAAAGTTTCCTGACTGCTAAGTGCAAATCAGGACTCAGCGAGCAGGAGATGGATGGAGACAGGTTCAAGGAGAACAGGGGCTGAAGGGAAGTCTGTGAATTTGCTGATCATTAGAACTCAATTCAGTCCCCATTCTCCCTCTCCCCACAGTGAGTTCTGGGTATAGTCTGCTCTTCACAGGACCTTCAGGGTTACCCTGATTTATTATTGCTCATTTAATATCTATTTTAGCGCTGGTGCCAGATTTGCAACCCCACAACGCTGCAGCTTCGCAAAAGTTCTCCATTCAATCACGGAAGGACCAGGGTAATGCAGTGCCTGTTTTCCCCAAACAATCCTGCCAACATGCCTCCACCATGCCCTGGGGGGACCAAGGCCAGTGGCTCAGAGGGAGTTCAGTAATTGTGGCTTTTAGTCTGCAGGCTCTCCGCTGAGACAGCCAGTATAGGAACTAATAGTCATGGCAGGAGCTAATTGTCATTCGATGCGGACACTTGGCCACTCAGAACTTTACTAAGACCATAGTCCAGTTTGTTATTTGCAGTGATCTGATTCCCAGGTATGTTTGCACATGTGCCTAAGAAACCTACGTCAAGAACGGGAACAGAATATATTCAATTAGAGGAGAGATTATGTTCATTTTTTGATACCCTATCAGTTTGCAACATTGCCTGGTAAAATAATGTGACAGGTCAGAATAAATGGAAGACAGAAAGGTAGTGCAGTCCAATGGAAGTCATCCACTGAACGAGAAGTCAGGAGACCTCATCACCTCCTCTCCTTGTGCCTCAGTTTTGCCATCTTTTAAATGGGGATATTGATACTTATCCTTTTCTATAAAATGCTTTGAGATCTGTGGATGAAAAAGTCTATATAAGAGTTAATGATGATGGTGGTGATTAATATGTATTACTGTAATGCCTAGGAGTTCCAGTCATGAACCAGGACCCCATTGTGTTAGATGCTGTACAGACACTGAACAAAAAGATTCTGCATCTCACTCACATATCACGGTTCAGTGTCCTTGAACTCGGTTTCACTACAGATCAGTCAGAATATAATGGCAGAGGAGAATCTTTTGCCCAGGTACAGCCGTTGAATGTTTTCAATTATCTTGTTGAGATGGGTTTGCAGTTTTCTGCAGGTCTTTTCTGAACTGATTCATTTCCCTGTGTTGACTTACTGTGATCTCTGTGGCTTTATGCCACATAAGTGACATAAGTAGGTGTAGAGGAAAGTTTGGTACTTAGCACAGCTCATGCCTGGCTTTGTATTTTTCTATTTATTTTAGAGCTTTATCCTGCTGCCCATCACCATAGTATCTGGGAACCTTCCAGGTAAAAACAGTAACAACAGCCAAATACCTAATGGATTTCATGGAGGCTGCCACAGTTCCTATTTCAAGGTCAATACTCTGCTTGGGGTTAGAGTTTTTTAGATTAAATTTCTCTCTTTGCTTGGCAGGACTGTAGAAATAGAAGGAGGCATCAGGGGTGGGGTTTAGAGGTAGAAGGGGTTGTCAAGGGCTGTGAGTACCATTCTTATGGCGGAAAGACTCTTTCAGAGAGGAAAGTTTTTCCAGCTTCCTAAAGAAAGTTAGACTCCAGATTCAGCCAGTGTGCTCAGGAAGTTTGTTCTATAGCAAGATCCCCTCAAATGAGAGTGCTTTGTCTCCAGCTCTCACATGCTTTGTCCTGAGCGTTGTGATCTGCATGATCTCGGCCGCGTGCAGCTATTCCTGAGATCCAGATTTGGTCTGTGATGTAGCTGGGGCTTGATTACTTTCAGCGCTTGATCTTTTCATCAGATTTGCTGCCGTGGCAAATTTTTGTTGATCTCCAGCTACACTTTGTAAGAGGAAATAAAAGTGGGGTTTGTGGTTTGTTTGGGAGATGGGGAAGCTGGAAACAAAATGCAAATGCCAATTGTGGAACAGAGAAAAGAGTTTAGCCAGGATCAGCACAACTGAGAATGCACACAGAAATGGAGAAGTTTCCCACCGGCGCACAGTACTAGGTGTACACATGTTCTCTAGAATAAAGGTCTGAAGGAAGGACCCTCATAAGACCCAGCAGCTTTAGAGAGAAAGACAGGCATGCTCCTGATGTACCCTTGTGAAGGCATTGTGTATGCATGTGTGAAGGGTGTGCATAAGGGGTTGCCATGAAAGCGTGTGCATGTATGGGGTTGTGTACATGGTTTTGTTTGCATGTGCAAAGGTGTGTGCATATATGAGTTTGTGCATTAGGCTGTGTGTACAAGGATGTGCATGCATGAGGGTGAGTGTGTGTCTAAGGGGACTGTATTCCCACACACACACATTAGGGATGTGTGCACGTGGGAGGGTGTGTGCATTCCTGAGTGTGTGGATGAAGGTGTGTGCTTGTGGGAGATGTGTGCACGCACAGTGGGTGCATTGGCAATGAGCGAGTTAGAAGAACTTATATAACTGGGGGGAGGGAGGATGGTCTACAGGGAGGGATGTGAGTGGGTCCTGGCCTGCTGGAGGGTGTCTCTGGGCCTAAAATCATAGAATCATAGGACTGGAAGGGACCTTAAGAGGTCATCTAGTCCAGCCCCTGCACTCATGGCGGGACTAAGTATTATCTAGACCATCCCTGACAGGTGTTTGTCCAAACTGCTCTTAAAAATCCCCAGTGATGGAGATTCCACAACTTCCCTGGGCAATTTGTTCCAGTGCGTATCCACCCTGATAGTTAGGAAGTTTTTCCCAATGTCCAACCTAAACCACCCTTGCTGCAATTTAAGCCCATTGCTTCTTGTCCTATCCTCGGAGGTTAACAAGAATAATTTTTCTCCCTCCTCCTTGTAACAACCTTTTATGTACTTGAAAACTGTTATCATGTCCCCTCTCAGTCTTCTCTTCTCCAGACTAAACAAACCCCATTTTTTTCAATCTTCCCGCATAGATCATGTTTTCTAGACCTTTCATCATTTTTGTTGCTCTTCTCTGAACTTTCTCCAATTTGTCCACATCCTTCCTGAAATGTAGCGCCCAGAACTGGACACAATACTCCAGTGGAGGCCTAATGAGCATTGAGTAGAGTGGAAGAATTACTTCTCGTGTCTTGCTTACAGTACTCCTGCTAATACATCCCAGAATGATGTTGCTTTTTTTGCTACAGTGTCACACTGTTGACTCATATAATATTTAGCTTGTGATCCACTCTGACCCCCAGATCCCTTTCTGCAGTACTTCTCCCTAAGCAGTCATTTCCCATTTTGTATGCATGCAACTGATTGTTCCTTCCTAAGTGGAGTACTTTGCATTTGTCCTTATTGAATTTCAACTTATTTACTTCAGACCATTTCTCCAGTTTGTTCAGATCATTTTAAATTTTCATCCTATCCTCCAAAGCACTTGCCACCCCTCCCGGCTTGGTATCAGCTGCAAACTTTATAAGCGAACCACACTCCGGGGAAACCTTTCCATTGCTGCTCTGCCCTCTGGGTTCTGCTGGGGAAGGGTCAGGATGCCCTAGATGCAGGCCAAAGCAGCCCATGCTCTGGGCATGTGATGAACCAGCAGCCAGGCCTCATGCCTCCCTGGCCAGTACTGCCCACATTTTTGGGCTGCACTAGTTGTCTCCGTGTCCCCTGGCAGAGCAGACGTGACAGGTGCCCTGCACCAGTCAGCGACCCCTTTGCCCCCGGCCCCATGTAGGTGAGATCACTGGTGGCTGCAGCGGTTCACAGACAAGGAGGGGTTGCTGAGCCCAGGGCCGGCTTTAGGCCGATTCAGCCGATTTGGCTGAATTGGGCCCCGCGCTAAGAGGGCCCCGCGCTGCAGCTCTCCACCCTGCCCCCAGCTCACTTCCCCCTCCTCCCCTCCCCTGAATGCTCCGCCCCCTGCTCCTCCCCCTCCCCTGCTTCCCGCGAATCAGAGGTTCGCGGGAAGTCTGAAAAGAAGCAGGGGCAGGCAGGCAGCACCAGATAACCCGGGGTGGTGGGGGGCGCGAGAAGGGCTCCGGGGAGGCACGGCCTAGTCCAGCCCCGGTTCCGGTCGAGTGCGCCGGCCTGCAGCGCGGCTCCGGCCCAACCCGCAGCTTCGGCTCTGGCCCCCCGGCCTGGCCCGGCCTGGCCCCCGCGGTGCGGCTTCGGCTCCGGTCCCCCGGCCTGGCCCGGCCTTCGCGGTGCGGCTTCGGCTCCGGCCCCCCAGCCCAGCCCGGCCCCCACGGCGTGGCTTCAGCTCCGGCCCCCCGGCCTGGCTCCCGCAGCGCAGCTCCGGCCCCCCGGCCCAGCCCCCACGGCGCAGCTCTGCTCCGGCCACCAAGGGGCTCTGGGCCGGACCCAAGCCCGGCGAACATGGCCGGAGTGCGGCTCGATTCCTTCCTTGCAGCAAGCCCCGCCCCCAGGAATCGGGCCCCGCTCTTGCTAAAGCCAGCCCTGGCTGAGCCATGTGAAAGGGGGTCACAGGTAGGTAGGCAGAGGTTGCGGGGAGTGGGATGGGGTCTGGCCTGTATGACTTTGCATTGGGCTGCACAGGGCGTCAAGGCTGGCACTGGACCATGACCAGAGGAATAAGAATGCTGTGCTGTTTCCATGATCCTAGGGCAGAAAAACCCTGCCGGAGTCCTCGCAAGGAATCAAGCCAGCCCCCGACCAAGACCAAGCCAGCAGCACCAAACTCCCCAGCATCCGCGTTGCTCCCACCCACAGCAGGCAGCAAAGCTCCGAGCAAGGCCAGAGAGGACAGAGCAGAGCCGGAGAACCAGCATGAGGGGCACCAGCCTCCCCTGAGGACAATCCAGCCGCCCCAGCGTCAGGAGCCGGAGGAGAACCCGCCGCAGGGTCGGAGAGGGCTCACCGTCAAGTGTCTCAGTTCCTTCAAGAGCAAAATCAACAGCAGCAACTGGCGGAGTCAGCAGTCAGTGGATTCCCAGCCAGGCAGCGAGTTAAGCCCTGGAGGCAACAGGAACCAGGTCATTCAATGCCTCTTTCCCTGGGGGGTATTTAAATGCTGGAGGGTAACTGAGGAGATACACTATTAGCCCCCAGTACAGATGGTTATTGTTCATAGAGGGCCATCGGTGCACATGGCCCCGATCCCAGACATAATAGCATTGAAGCTACAAGTCATAGCTTGGTAATGAACTGCTGTGAAGCACTGAAGCCTGAGGCTCAGCCCAGGGTGTGTGGTTAGAGCAGAGACCTTGGAGAGGCAGAACTGCAGGTTTCGAATCCCAGCTCTGCCACTGACTCTCTGTATGAGAGTCACTTCACCCCTCTGTGTCCCAGTTTCCTCCCCAGGAAGGCTGACCTTTTCAAAAATCCAGACAGAGGCTACTCTGAGAAGTGGCCAGATTTTCAAACGATTGCTGGGGAGCTCTGCGGCAGCTTAAATGGGGAGAATACTTTACCCGCTGCATTGAAGGGAGCTGTGAGTCTTAATTCTTGGTGAGGGCTTGTAGAGAACGGGAAGCTCTTGGATGACTGGTGCTGCAAAAAAGCAAAGTCTTATTAACCCTAGGTATAAGACAGTAATACTCTGCGGGCCCGATGTAAATCAACCTAGTGCCATTGACTTCTATGGTGCTACGGTGCTTTTCACCAGCTGAGGATCTGGCCCTGCATTTCTATAGTTATTCCCATCTAGATATCTCAACGCACTTTCCAGACCACAGTGAGTTACCCTTAGAGCACC